ATGAAACTGTAATTTAATTAAGGTTATTAAAACAATAAGAAAAAGGTTCATACTTATTTTGAGAGTGGTACACGAAGAGTCCTATACCAACAACAGTATTTTCTCACAGTCGCGTACACAGACATTTTCATGAAGGGGATAAGGGGAAGGGGTTTTATTACAAAAAATTATTTATACACACATAAAATATATTATGTTACTGTTAAAGTCGTAAATTAAGGAATTAATGACTGGCCAATAACGAGATTTCCGATCAAATTAAACTGTTCCTATGACTAGAAAATAATGTTAATGCTCATTATTATGTCTATTATTATTATTATTATTATTTCAAAGTTGACGCAAAAGTTAGTTATTTTAAAAAATCATTTGGTCAAAAATTCGTAGACTACCTTGGTCCAACCTATTTTAATTCTATGCCTATAACTACAAAACTACAAAAAAAAACATTGTCTGTAAAATTTTTAATGCCAAAACATTAGTTATAAAATGGTTGTTTATGTCTCTAGATCAATAATTAATTATTTATATCTGTAAAATATGAAAACTCTGATATCTGTTTTCTTTCTTTTTTTTTTCTCTTAAACCCTAATCTATAAGAAATAATTTACTGTATTGTATTTCATAATAAGTATGTAATCACCTAAAATCAAATTGTAAATTTACATATTATACAAAAATAGTTAACTCTATACCTTCGACACAAGCTATGCTTACGGAAGGTATATAATTTTTTTATTCAATTGTATGTATAATATAATAAAAAAAATTTAAAAAAAAAAAGAGTTAATGGCTTATTCCGGTATATTCCAGTATTTAGTACTATTTGCAGCCATAATCGATAAAAATGTTTATTGGATTTACTTGATAAATTAGAAAAAGACCAGCGTTGTAAAATCTAATCAATATACGGATAATAATATAATTTCGGATTCAATAATATGTCAACGGTCGCAAAGTATTGAATAAAACCAGTAAAATATAACCGCCCAAATTGCGATAACGGGAAATTATTTTTTTATAATATTTGTACACACGCACGCACACGTATTAGCATATTCCATAACATATAGTACGAATATATATAATCGAACGATTTATCTGTGCACTACCAGCAGTTATTTTTGATTTTTAGCCGAAAAATTCAATTTAAATATTTAGTTAAATACAATTTTCAAAATTTTCTGCCAGACATTAAGGCAATTTCCTAGTCATAGTTGTAAATGATTCCACTAAATTTTGATGTTTGCCTTGTATATTGTCTGTTAATGCCTATATGCATTGACGAGATCGTCTACCATAAAGTTAGGTTAAGTTAGGTTTAAATTACATAATTGACGGTTACATAATATTATATTATAAGAAGTACATTTTTAATATCTGCAGTTTTCATGTTTTCATACAGTGAAAAAGAGTCAAAAGGGAGAGGGGCGAGAGTTTGAATACCACTGCCACCTGTATTATAATAGGTATGGGAAATTGCATTTATATATTAGAACGAAACCTTTAAATCGTATTTATTCTTAAATTAAAACAGTGCTAGCAGATAGATGATAAACGCAATAATATATACAACTACAGTAATCATCAATTATTATGTATTTTGTTAAAATGCGTTTTTTCTTCGATCGCCTACATCACAATAGCATAGCCATATTTGCGATTTTCGTCTACACTCAAAAACAACGGTATGTAAAAGGGCAAAAAGCGTACGTTGAAAGGGATAGTTATTTCTGCAGCATAATCTTATTATTCTTACGTCGATCCGTGTACCAGTCTGCTGGTCCGCTGTCTGCACGGAAACGCGTGCAGCCGCAGATCGTATTTCACAACAGCGACGCGTTTGTGTCCGGTTCAGGGCCAGTCGTGAACGCCGACGCGTTTAACGCACCACCCGCGTATAACGACGACATCGATACATAAATACTTAATACATATTATAGAATCGGTATGTATAGTAATGTGGCCTACGTGAAACATAGCGACCGGAGCCTCAGCAGCGATCACGCTCCACGATCTACAATGTATATAGTATAACGCGTCCCCGAGTTGTATACAATAATATAATACAATAATAATATTAGTATAATAATCGTTATTATATCCCATATTGTTCACGGGTATCGAAAATGTCTATAATTATTATTTATTATTATTATTAATTTTTTTATATTGTACGTACACGTATATAATATGTATATATATATATTATATTATATATATACGATTTGGACAACGGAAAAGGTCACCACCACATGTTATTATTATTATTATTATTATTATTATTATGATTATTATTATATATATTATGCCATATTATGGATATAAACGCACGTGTCGCAATATAATCACGATATTAATTCCTTCGCACCACATATAGATAGGCACTCGACATAGTAATAATAATTGTTGATGACGCGTACTTTCTTAATGTCTCATCTACTAAAATACAATACCTAATACCTATCGAAAAACGTCGTTTGAGATTTTATATGTATTTTTTGCTCTGTCCAAGAATAACAACGGTACACAATATATTATACGATATTATCATGTCCTCGACGTTATAAGAGTAGACGTACCATTGTACTACATGACGGTATTGTTGTTATAAAGGTACGTCAACGTTAATTTAGTTTCTTGTTGGAAAATAATCCTACGTTATATATATTTAGTATATAAAATATATGCTTTCAAAATATTATAAACGTCCATGTAGAATAATATACGCCACCTACTGCAATTATTATCGATTCAGTCGAAATTTGTGGACTAAATCTCAGAAGGCATCTACAAGCTAGCTTACGTTACCACAAAAGTAAATTAATATATCGGCGTCATCGTACTTAAACTTTAAAAACGTTTACAATGTGGCTCGAAATATTCATCCTTAGGTTTGAAGAGAGATTATCGAGACATGTAAATTCGATTTTTAGAGAAAAATATAATTTATGTATATTATATTATATTTGTATAATATAAGGTAGAGAAACGTCCTGTTTATTCAATGTTGTTTATATTTTTCATTTTTAGTGTAATTAATTGATAAATATATAATATAATGTTCTAGCTTCTAGGTGACCTTAAGTAGATGTAAATAACTGAAGTGAAATAAAAAAAATACATGTAGGTTAATTTTTTAAACAATGGTGTAGTTTAACTATGTAGGTACATTTACATAACTATACACTATTTCAACCAAAATAAATACGTATATATATAGCACTCACTATATTATTATTGTGTGCTTTAACACAGATTTCCAATAAAGGGTGTACATCATACTCGTATAGGTATTTCAAATATTATTCATTAACTATTATTAACGACAAAATCTGTTTATATTTATGATGATATAAGCTTTCAGTGCTTCATAAATCGTGATATACGATGAGTGAATATAAGAGACTTTAACGCACTAGTATATAAAAATAACATACGATTCAATCGTATGTCATACAATATTTAAAAAACCATTTGTCAAAATCTTGAATTTATAAAAAGAAAAATTACTTACCTAACTGTGTTCGAGAATTTGTTTTTTTTTCATGAATCAAAAAAGTGACTGCAAATAGTAGGAACCAACTTTTTTACGTTTTAAAAATTAGACCGTGGATAAGTGGAAGGAACCTGGGAGTTGGGTTAGACAATATTTACAAAAATAATAAAATGATGAATAACTCTACGAATTATAAAAAGAAGTAGGTAGGTAACCTACAACAGACATCGGGTTTTCGCGTACAAACTGAACAACAAACGGGCCTAGAAATACAATGGGTAATTTATTTTGTTGGTATAATATTATAATTCTCGAGTGTTCATGCACGCAAGTTAAGTAAAAAATTAAAATACTGCGAGGTTAAATATAAAAAATATAATGTATTATAATGTATTTTAGAAACTAGCCTAAAATGTTCTGAAATACAAATGATACTAAATGATAATTATGATAATTAGCCCATACCACCAACGGCGGCCTCTTCAACAAGTCAACCCCGTCCACCAATCATGTCTCAACATCAAACTTTGCACTTGTGCTTATTGCAAACTTAAAAAATGTGTGTTATCAATAATAAATTTAAAAAAAATATATGCCTACTACAATTATATAGATTTTAGGATAGAAGAATAATAATATAGTCTAACGATCTAAATAAAGAAATAAAAACAAAAAAAAATTGTAAACATTGACAAAACAAAAATAGAGACATCAATGATATTGTAAGGAGTTATAATAGTAGGTTAGATGATATAAATAAGTAAGCCGATGTGGCGGTGTCAAAGTTTCTCTAAACGACGCAATTCACTTGTGACATATATGATAGCGTTGGTATACTATGATTACGAGTATATTATACTGTTTTATTTACATGTATGTATTATATTATTAATTATCATAGTTTAGTCAATTGGGTTATAGACCCAATGTGATATAAAAGATTCATCGGAAAACGTGATCGTGTTTCCATCCATCTGGACGTCCTCTGTGAAAGGACGTCGGACGATATTATTATGCTGTGATACAATGCAAATAATAAAACATTATAATCATTTCCGAAGGTGCACGCCGGAAAAATCTGCAATAGAACAACAATACGACAAGACAACCTAGAATAGGAAAGAAAACCTACTCAGAGGGATGAGTGCGAGCGGCCGAATCTGTATAGAACAAAATATAATATACCTCCTATACGCCGTACATCGCGCCAAGAGAGGAGGCCACGGTCGTCAGCGCCGCCTTGGTGTGAAAGGTCGTGAAATAATGCAATACATATTATGAGGACCGCCGCCCGTTTTCCGTCATATAATATACATAATAATATTTTTGTTATTATTATTATTATTATTATTACTATTATAATGTTACGGAGGTATCGTCGTCGTCGTCGTCGTAGGCCCCCAGGGGGCCAGCTATGATTTTCCCCCCATAGGCGCGAGCGCGATAACGTCAGGGAGTGGTCTCGGAAGGTTCCCGGCGATTTCAGATTGTATAAAAAGAACACCAATCCACGGATCCAGCATCACACCCGACGAGACTTCAGAGCCATCATCGCACGGAACACGTTGTTCGTATATTTTAATATTTATAATTCCAAATCGCAAACCACTACACTCAACGATCATTATGGCTTTCAGAGTAAGTACACACATCTAAAGATATAATTTATACATTATTTAAATATAGGTACACGATTGCATTTTAGACGACATTGCAGGTATGTTTTAAGTCCGACGAAACCTATACGTTTTTCCAGAGTCTGAAGCGTCACCGACTCAAATTCTCAGTTACTCATATTTAAGAATTAGGATAGATCAGTGCATTTATTAAAGCTATAACAAAACATCCCATTATAATAAATTACATATTAAATTGTTAATGCTATACGATGAAATCACATTCAGAGCGGTTCACGACTAACATCGTGGGATATTCGTTTTTTTATTTTCAATTCATTTGAATCGGACTTTACTCACACGCTAACAAATACATTTTCTAGGATCACGGTGCTATCGTGTGATACCGAACTCACACGTTAAATACTGCAGACATCCCACAAAGACGATTTTATGTAAAATAAATAAATTATGTAGAAAAACAAAAAATTGTATATCAATTTTAATGATTTAACTTCAATCAGAGATAAACATGAAATTATACAAAACAATGTGTGAAAATCATAAAAAGTGGCGATCACTATAGGTTTATATCCATCAACACAGTAAATCACAAAAATATGATTTTTTTAACATAGATATGCTTTTGAGCTATAAGTACAAATTTCTTTCTAACTGATTTTTGTGAGGCCGATTTTCGTAAAGGTTTGTTTATTGCCATAAAAATATTAATTTTGTCTTGCGGAGAAAAAATACCTAGTAGCATGCTATTTATAATAATATATACAAAGGACATTTTTTTTAAAGTTTCAATTCGTGACTAGTAATAGAATTTGAAAATTTTATGAATGAACGGTTTAGATACCTAATAATAATAAGAAGAAATAATATCAAATCTTACATAGTTACATAACTCTATATTAAATAATATTTTTTTACCAAACTATATTAAACTCAACACTTTTATCAAAACTCAACATTTTTTTACCCAACAATTATTTATTTGGGGTTTGGTCGCTGGTTCAATGCATGTGATCAAAAATAGAATAAAAAAATAATAAATGAACATGAAGGTAATTAATAACTATTATTATTCGGGTTAATAGAAGATAAGGGGAAAGTTAATTTTAAAACCATATACCCATTAAAATATTTCTTAGAATACAATTTTAACTCATAAAATATTACCATATGACCAAGTAATTTTCTAGACTAAAAACAGTTGATTTGACTTAAGAGTTAAGACATCTTATGTAATAATTATAAGAAAAAACTAACTATAAAATTGAATCGACCGCAAGACATGTATGGACAAATAGTGTGTGTATATCTGAGTACCAATATTTCTAATGAAAAATGATAAGAGCTTCAGGTTAACCGAGGTGGTTTTTATTCGAGAGCAGAGTCCTGTTATACGGTTACACGACGTTAATATATTATAATATTATTTATTTCTAATTATTATATTTTGTTCAGTTCGCAGTTTTGGCGTCGGTCCTGGCAGCGGTGGCGCACGGCTCTCCCGTGTACACGGCCGCACCCTACGCGGCCTACCCCTACGAGGCCGCCCCGTACTCGCCCGCCCTTTACGCTCCGGTTCCGTACTATGCAGCGGCTGCGCACAAGTCGTACGATGCGGACTACGACCCGAACCCATCGTACTCGTACGCGTACGACGTGCACGATCAGCTGACGGGCGACTCGAAGAGCCAACACGAGAGCAGGCAGGGTGACGTTGTGCACGGATCGTACAGCCTGGTGGACTCCGATGGCACCAGGCGGACGGTCGACTACACCGCGGACCCGCACAACGGCTTCAACGCGGTCGTCACCAAGGAACCGCTGGTCAAGGGCTACGGAGCCGCACCCGCCCGTGCCGCTTACCCGGTCAAGTCGTACGCACCCGCGCCAGCCGTCTACCCGGCAGCCGTCAACGCTTATGCGCCAATCTATCCGGCCGTCAAAGCGTACGCACCATCGCCGTACCAGACGTACCCGGCTTACCACTGACCGCGTTTATACGTGACCGCCACCACCACCGCACCACAGAGACCCGCTGAACCAGATTTGCCTTACACTATTATCCTACAGCTGGTATACCTGCACATACCGTCCCCGTCTGACAGTGAATTATGATCACGGCGACGTTTGATGGGCCACCGCTGAATAAGACATTAAGTATTTACAACATTTGAACGGAAACATTTATCTGATTTTTTTGTTTTTATCCTATTTATGACACAAACGCATAAACTATATAATTATATACTATACTATACTATACATTTATTATATAAGGTCTTAAACTTAATTTTTTAGTTTCATATATTATTATTACAATGTTCATATTATGTTCTGTATAATGCAACAGTACCTACGTCCTATCTACCTACTTAGTTTCTCTTGTTGTTTCTATATAATATACATAAACATTAAGCGGACTACAGTATATTATACTGTCGTGCGTTAATATTTATATTTTGTTAATATATTATATTTTCCGAATAAATATTTGTGTTTATTTATTATCTTTTATTTCGTTGGCAAAACGGATTACATGACCGAAACAATAAATAAAATCGAACATCAAATCATATTATAAGGAGGACACATAGGAACACCGATCCTAAAAAAAATGCATACACAAAAACACAAGCGAGATGATGAAAATAATTATTACAAGGACCCGCGTATTATAATATTATGAAGGACCCTCGTCCGCCAAACGCGAAATAGAGGAGCCAGTTGTGTATGCGTGAAATATGTGCAAGATGTGTTGTTTAGAGAGCAAGGAGATTATATGAGAATCTGGCCGCCTGAGTTAATATTATTATTGGATAGTTTATGGATTAGGGCAACTTAATTACACCACACCACATGTATATGATGTCGGAGAAGAAGGGATAGGCAAAACTGTCTATATAAGCAACGTTGTTTAACAGGCGTGAGAGAATACTGAATAGGAGCTGTTGCTTATATAGACAGTACCTATAGCACGTGCTTATATAGGCAAGTGCAATGTAGGTGACAGAAAAACGGAGATATTTTATCTGCATGACTTCGATGATAGAATATAGCGCAAATAGTCCTAGGCAGTACAGAAGAACCAGTAAAAATCTGTATAGTTATACCATTATAAATCACACATAATGATTAAGACTGATTTTTGGAGTTAAGTGTCAGTGGCCATTGGACAGATGACACTCCGTTCCTTGAATAAAAACATCCATACCTATATACTATAGCGACTAATACACAAAATACGTAAGTATTCTATAATACTACACACAGATTAAAAAATTTTTTAACTGAATAGTAGTAAACATTAATTTCATTTAAAAAAATGGATTATGATGTATTAAATGACCAGCTAGGTGTTGTATTTTCATCCACGAGAGTTTTATAAACCTATAAGCACCTATTCAAAATAACTAGGTAAGTACACATCACCTATATAATTTGTTTAATAAATAAACTGTTGCATGCCTACATAGCAGACATTAACTGAGACTACAAAATGTTTGTATGAATAATAAATAAGTTATATAATATATCAAGACGACAAATTATCATTGTATACGAAAAACCAGTGAGAGTACACCGAATGTAAAGCTGTAGGCTTTTATTTCTAAGAATATTTATAATTTTACGATAGTTACCATGTATTAATAATTTATCTTCCTATTAGTTATACAGTAGCCGGTAGGTTGAATTAATTTTTTCCAAGAACATTGTGTATTTACTATATACACCATTATTATTATAATAACATTTCATAAGATATTACTAGCAGCAGTTATTATATTGTAAGACAATACAATGTGACGTATAATTGTGCGAATAGATTCGTGGTATAAATAATAACTTAAATTATTCTAAATATTTTATTGAGCACAAAAAATAATAATATAGGTACATAATGGATAAACATTTTAGTTCTCCGACAATTAATACTATTTGAAGAACAACAAAGTAACTGACTAGGAAAAAACATTAATTTAAAAATAATTGGTCAACATTTTAACTTCGAACACTTAGAAAACAGCTATTTTAAATTATTTTGAGTAATGTATAAAAAAAACGTGTGAGATACCAAATTATAAAAAAAAACTAAAAAAATGTCTAAGATTTAAACTGACTGTAAATTGCTAAAAAATGTTCAAAATATTTTTTAAAGCATGATATATTAAATTCTAGTACGATTCATATTGGACGAAAATATTAATGATTTGCGATTCTTCATATTTAGTTCAAAACAAAATCGATTTTGTCACAAAAAGGCGTTTTTCAGGGTAAATACATTCTCGTTTTGACTTAATTTATTTTTTTTGTTTTTTTAGATAATCTTGAAAACTATTATGTATTATAATTATATATCTAATTATTTGACACCAAATAGGCAATGACAACCCTTGAAGTTGATAATTAAAATATTTTTACTGCTATAAAAGGTGATAACTGATCACTGATAAGTGATGACTGATAAATGTAAGTGAAATACACCGATGGCCATCGAACTGTTCAGAATATCAAATAGGCATTTTTAGTACAAAAATTGTGTTGCTTTTATATTATAACAATTTTCAAGTTTTAATAAATATTATTATAGAAATGTTTAGTAACAGTTACATTTTACAATTTAAATATAAACAATACCTAAATTATATTATAGAACAAAAAACACAAATTGTTGGATTTTGTCTTCAGTTAAGAAGTGTAACAAAAATGGTTTTATTTCATAAATATGCAGAATACAGAAAAAATATTGTTTTTAGTACCACATAGTTGGTTAAAAAAATTATGACTATAAAATAAAATATTTGACTTGAAACAAGGAGATTTTCACAAATGATTACGTTATAAATAACTATATAATATGTATTATGTATCAATATAACATTATATAATCAATATTGCTACCTACCTATACCTATTGGATTCATTTTATATTTAATCGAGATTATTAATTATTATTTATTATGAAATAAACCATTAAATAATCGTCATAAATGACTTACTAATAGACATTGTAGTTTGTAAAAACTACAAATAATATCACTGCATAATTTAAATTAAGATATATTAGGTTCGCCGAAGAATTGATAAGAAAATAATAAGGTACATCTGTTTTTCTAGCACTTTAATATTAATTTTCAGGTTTTTATTAAAATACTGAAACAGGTTTGATAAGAAGGATAAGTTCTTAATATATTGTATGATTTAATAGGAAATAATATTCAACTTAAATATAGTTGGACTATATTATTATAAATCTAATATGCCAATCAACTTGCTGTCCATTGATCAAAGAGATCTTAAGATTTTAAACAAATTCTCGTTACATGCAGCAACAGCAGCGCCAAAAATTATAATAATATAATTTATTAATAATTAGTACACAAAATTTAAATGATCTATAATTTATTATTATAATGACGAAATACCTTAACTTTTCACGTAAAGCCAATATTATATTTATTTGCAATATGCATACGTGTTTAATATTATTATTATAGATAGTCACGTTCAACACTATTAATGATTAACATCAATACCTATATATTTACTTAGCTGGAGTAGAAGTACAATTTAAATAATTATCGTTAACACGCATATTATGCATTTGTATAATTTGCATATTTAATTAATGAGAGAGTTATAAAATAATAAAAAGAACCTACCTACATACACAAAAAATAAATAGGTAAAACGATCATAAACCAAGTATAATCATCTTAAAGTAAAAAAAAACATTTAATAGATACTTTTAACATAGAATAAATAAAATAATAATGGTTATGTTAGGTTAGGTTAGTATCAAGAACTTGATAACCACAATATATATAATATATATATATAGTTAATATAAATATTTATTTTAGTTCTATAAACACTAGTATTTAATTCATATAATATTTTATATTAAGTTAGTCTGTATCATATAAGGTTATCAAATAAGTGCATTCTGATTTTCTATATTTCTCCATTTGAATTTTATCCTAACAATAGCCTACTACGTAAGCCATACTTTACATTGCCTATGTTTTGACTCAGTCCTCAATTCATCTGTACTTTCAAATTAAATGTCCAAAAATATTGAAATAATTCAAAGATCTATTTGAAAACGGCGTTTAGTATACGCAATACAAATACACCTAAATATTTGAGTATTTTCTTTTTAAACGCCTAACAATATAAAAAATACAAATTATTATAATATATTAAAGAATAAAAAACATAATATCAATAAGTTTAAACAAAATAAAATATTATTGAAATTGATAACAGTTAAGGAAAACCCATAAGTATGAATATTAAATAGTAAAAAATGTCGATTATATTAGTTAAGTTGCATAGAAAACAAAAATAGCTAACTTATTTTTTTTTTTTTTTTTTGTACAGTCATAAATGCCAAGTGTATAGTAAATTAAAAGTACACAGACCATTGAGTCGACAGGAGATCAAGGGGAGTAATTGATTTTGATTTTTGACATGAAATATGTATCATTACTATACGAGTTTTATTTATGTTAATTTAAAATTAAGTTTTTCAAGTTTGGATGGACAGTATATTCTATTATTTAATTATTTTAATAAGAGCATTCAATTCAGGTGTTTTGTTTGATTATAATTAATTATAATCATTAATTGTTCATACAGAACTAAATAAATAATTTACAAATTATAAAATGGAGACTAAAAAAAAGTTGGGTAACGCTCTGTTGTACATTAGGTGTCTAGGGAGTCACTGTAATGAATGTGATAAACTTGAATTCTATGATATAAAATCATTGTATACAAAAAACGATTCCGAGAGAAGAGGGTCAGTGTATATCATTACATATCGTATATTTTATACAATAATATCTATTGTAATGAAAGTAATTTATTTTACTATTAGGCATTAATTCTACTACAGTGGGTTGAATTCATTTTTGTCAAAAATATTGCATTTTAAGATGATTGTGTGACGTGCGTATAAAATATAATAATTTGTAAGTGTTTCAAGAACACACAAATAATATTTTTAAATTATAACTAAATAACTTAAATCGTTATTCATGGTTTTAATATGTAATTGTATATAAATTCATACTTAAAACAACTACATATATATAAAAAAAAAAATTGTGTTTATATATTTTTTAGATTTTTTGGTTACACAATGAATTACTCAAGTGGAACCTTGTTTAAAATTTAAAATTTGTAACTGTGCAAATTGAATATCTTTTATAATTTTAACTAACAAAACAATTAACATACAAAACAATTTGTAAATTTTGTCAAAATGATAACTTTAAATACTTGTAAAAAATATTGCCAGTGTATTTTTATTACTTTTAAACAGATATTGTAGCAATGTAATTTATAGAAATAAAAATAAAAATTTCCGTAAAATAAATAAAAATATTTTGAAAATTTAAGTAAACCAAAGCATAAGTAAAGTATAATGCCAAATGTTAGTTGAACTTCAAAAGATCATAAAAATTTGATAAGACGACCATAAAAATATTGTCAATTCGAGTTCACTTTATTTTTAAATTTCCATTACCAACAACTTATGACCAGCCTTTCAAATTTTCTTATCTACATTATTTAACAAAAACTAATAAAAAATTGAAATTTATGTGTCTAAAAATAGTTCAACATGAGTCAAAATATTTTGAAAATATTATTATGTATAGAAAATGCTAATATATTTATTCAGTTAAAAATGCATGTATTAACAGTTTTTTTTTATAGTAACACTAAAAATCAAAATGGATTTCATGGAAACCCGATTTCGTTTGAAAATTCCCATTTTTTCTTATTTTATTTTATTTTTCTTGGCGTTATTTAAAACTACTGAAAATTTCGACCTTCAAAATGTGCCAGCTAGGTTCAACTTCCCATCAGAAAAGAAACTTAAGTTTAAAATCAAAGTATTATTTTGACTACTTATTGTGTAAAAAGACACAAAAAGAAAAAATACACTACATTTTTACAGACGATTTACTTATAACGTCCTTGAAAATAATTTAAGTGAAATGTCGTTAGTAAAAATATACATATTTTATGCTGAAAATTATGAAAATGATATATAAAATGAAAATAAATATTTTATTTTAATACAACATATTGAATCGTATTTAACAATTAAAAGGCGTTTTTTATCACTACCAACATTAAATTATTTTTATGCAATTAAATTGCATATAAAGAACGCCGTATGAAAAGATAAAATAAAATATGTTCAAATCGGTTGTCTATTACAGATTAATGAATAATGATATTAATGCTAACATTCAATTACTACATATAATTTTTAGTTGATATAGATATCAAAAAACTTGTAATTTATATTAACTTTTTGTTTAATTTCAATAGTTCATTCTAGAAAAAAGTTATTGTTGTTTTAATTACTTGCATTATAAAATTACCGAAATAAAATCACAATAATACCAAAAAAAAATATTTAAAAAAAAAAATTTTTCATAAAAAGAACACCATTCTTAACTAATATGAAATCTATAAATTTCATCATAAAGTAAATAATAATTATTATACAAATGTAAAAATGGATTTTGAAAATAAATTTTATGATCAATATAGTAATTATATAATATATATAATAATAAATATAATTTAATACTAATATTCTAAATTAAACTGATCTTAAATATATCTACTATATAACTAAACAAGAAAGTTATTATAATTTTAATATTTAATTTATACGAGTATAATATTTTAAATGAGCTAAAGAAAGACGTATCTTTTGTTATCTATGTAAAAAATTTTATTGTTCCAAGAATTTATATGTATTTGTACTTTATTTAATTATTTTTTATAGGATTGAAAAAAAATGTCCATTAAAAATACTTTTTTTATGAAACAAATTCGATTTATCAATATTTTTTCAACCAAATGTTTATAAATTATGGGTTGACGGTAATATGTTTATAAGATATAATACGAATCGTTCTGCTAATTTGATACGGAAACCCCTTCTGAAGCATATAACACTGTAGGAAATATATAATTGGGCTCTCAACATTTCTCGAATATATGAGTATCGAACTCCGGTATAAAATACACATTATATAAGCTATTAAACTCATACATACATACATGATACATACATGCATACTTACGTACACGCGGACATACACAAAAAAGTACTTGTTTGTGTAGATGCAAAGAAATGTTTCTGTAGCAAGATATTTAAGAATTACCCATACTTGGATCAGAATGGAATCTCGAGTAAGTTTAAGTTAAATCATATTTTATTTATTTTTTTTTTTTTTCTAATATTTTACACTTAAATCATTACTAATGAATCAACTAGAATAATTCTTATACTATGTGATCTTACTGACAGTAAATATTAGTTCGTAAATACGCCAAGTAAAATGAATTATATTTATATACATACTAAAATAGAATGGAAATTTACTTGAGGACGTTGTAAAGTATTACTATTCTACATACTAAAATTGTTTAGCAATAATTTTATTTGGGAATTATTTAAATTTGAGTACATTTTTCAAAAAATAATAATGAAAAGATTATGGGTCCGTATATTATAACAATTAATGACGATCTAAAAATATATATTACAATTTTGACAAACCGAACATACATAAGAATATTTTTTATATTATGAAGGTAATAAGAATAATTTAGTAATAGTAGGGCACAAACCCCCGAACACTAAATATGGTTATAGTTGTAAGAATCGTTTTTTTCAAAAATTAATATTTCCTTTTTTCATATAAAACTTTATTCCAAAAAGGACATAACCACACACCCGTTATTTCCTCTACATAACATCGATCAAGCAATGTGACGTTTATAGAAAAAAAAATAGATTCTCTTTACAGTCAACACACTCGACGCAACAGTAAAATAATAGTAACAACGCATTTGTTAAATAATAAAATAATAAAAAAAAAACTTAATTAAACTAAAATTGATAATGCCCATTACCCTTATTACCTATTTGAGTAAATTAAAATAATGAGTTAATTTTTTAATTCAATGATTGATTACAATTTTTAGCCAACGTAAATTCGGGATTTAATAATAAAATAATTCAAATATTAGAGAGAAATAAAATAATATATATTATACACCATTACTTAATATTTTCATCCAGATTCTTCTACATTTTTAATTTTGAATGACTTTAAATCATTTCAAATGATAGGCATATAATGATTATTATTATTAAATATACGTACGTTTAGAATGGTTTTATGTTATACGTTAAATCTTAAATGAACAACTTTTTGAAATTGTTCAGTACAAAGAATTTATTTTTTAGTGACTAATTAAATACTTGCTAAAACTAATTTATTTATATTTTATTTATTATTCTTTATATAATTATAAATGATGCTGTAAACTTTGAAAAAATAATTATTGTTGGGTACCGATTATTTGTTTCTGAAAGTAGAGGGAAGCATACAGCTATATTTATACATGTGAAATATGTATATGGATTTATAATATGATATATAGCTTAGGTCAACACAAGTACGCTGACATATTATTAATTGACAACGAACTCTGTCCGAATAACTTATAAATTCTAGACACGCGGACTTAGAGACTTGTTTTTGATTAAACTATGCATTAAATTCCGAAGAAATAATGGCGAAATATGCAATTACCCGATTTCACGTCTGTTTCTATACACAAGTGTTGTGCAAAAATAATAATAATAATAATATATCAAGCAAGAATTTCAATACAATCTGATTACCATTAATCACAAGTTTGGCCGTTTCCAATTGATAATTTTTTATCAATTTCATTTTGTTAAATCAACCACAAACGACACTTCACTTGAATTATTTTCAAGGACGTTACAAATATATCGTCGTTAAAAATATAACGTAGTATACATTTTTTCACATAGGTTTATCCATTCTCGTTGTATGTTAAATACGAGCACTCCATATTTTACTTGAATACGCACTATTCCAGTATTCAATAACTAATATTAGTATAAAAGGAATACATTTTATCATAAAAATGATGTATTTATGAAATTTTATACATGTATAGTATAGGGAATAATTATATCATGGTATTTTTAAGCAAACGACATGTATTTAATTTAATTTAATTTTTTTTGTCTTTTATAACAGGTTTTGATTTTTTTTATCTCACTCTTTTTCTCTATGTTCGCGAAAAATTCTTGTCAAGTGCCACCCGACCCTAGATCCGAATCCTTAAGCCCCATCATTATACTGCCAGCCTCGTCCGGAATCTCATACGAATCGCTTCACTATCCAGCGCCCGTGGATCAGCAGTATCAGGTAATACCACTAGTGATAAACACGGGGAAAATACCTTTGATAAATCACGCGGTCCAAGCGCCGATACAATACTTTGTACCGAACAGCGAAAACCGACAGACACAATATTCGAAAGCTCGAGACGAACATCTGCCACTGGGTAAACCGGAGACAGCAATATTATATTCAAATTATGAGCAAACCGAAAATCGACCGACGTACGATGGCAATAATTATCCGTCTACTGCAACTGCTACAGTTTACTCAGAAACGCGTGTCGATGGTCTACCGGCATCGCGGCGGTACAGTTACGGCTACAAAATAGTCGACGGCCACGTTGGCGATTCGAATGACCGACATGATATACCAATGATTGTCGGCGGTGACGGGCCAGCAAGCTATAATAATTTATCAGGACCAGACGAAACGGATAGTGTTTTCGAACGAGCGATCGACCTGGGTGTCGAATCGCAGGTCAACAGACGGAAGCCGGAAGAATCCGATGACCGGCGGGATGATGCACAAGACAATATTTCCAGAGCTTTAAAACCGATAGTAGTTAAGACAGAGATGAATACGACAAAAAGAGAACTGAAAAAATATTACAAGAAGATAACGAATCCAGAAACGCCCGTTCATAGTGACCAAAAAAATGGAAAATTGACAACAATAAATCCCGCACAACGGTAAAACTGTCAGCCAAATAAAATTTGGTGGTGGAACAATGGCGACCATACAAACGAAAATAATAATATTTTAGTATAATATTTTTTTTTTTTTAACATTTATTAGAATATATACAATCTGTAATAAAGGTTACAATAAGCATATGGGCTAAAATACAATTGTTGTGAATTCGTGAGGTGAGTAGCAACCCAGCGGTAACACTCGACATGATATTAGTATAATATAAGTACGATTAATGTATTAGTTTTACAATATTTTATTGTTAGTGTTAGGTATTTCAGTATTTGTAATAATTAGATTACCTACGTAAATAGTCCAAAATAAATATTATCGGAAAAACCGAGTACCTAATATCATTGAGTATAGATACTACATAAATACATATCATTAAACTTTTACATAGGTATTCAATGATAATAAACATGTAAAACCTTTAAGTGTAATAAAATATATTTGTGTATTAGCTAAAACTATTTTGTATTTAAATATAATATTATTGTTATTAATTTTTTTAATTCAATAAGAAAATAAATAAATGCTATCATATACCTATTTAGTTTTTTATTAGTGAAAACTTTAATCTTAAATGAATACATAATAATATGGATTATATAGTATATTTAGGATATAATATACTAGTAAATATGCATGACTATGTGGCGTACACAAACACGGTATTATATTATTAAGACTCCTCTCGATATCATATAAATCTAAAATGATTAAGTAAACCTTAAAATATATACCTATTTGATACTTTCTTCATTTTAAAGTGTTATAAATAAAACATTATTTAGATAACAACTATATCGATAACATCAAATAAATTAGCTGTAATTTAATATATGGGTAGCATCCTACATGGAATATCAAAATAATGGCAATAAAACATTAAAATTATATTTAAACTATCCAAACATAACAAATATATTATAATATTATGATTAGTTTAGATAAATTACAAAGATATTAATTTAGAATCAAAGTATTACAGATGCGTAAAAATCATATGATAGTGAAAGCGAAGTTGGATTATACTATGATTAATTATTTATTAAACTCGCCAATTATACAGAAAAGCGCAAACCAAAACTTACGAGTGTTTTAACATTTTATTTGAAAAATAAAAAGAACATTATGAATAACAATCTAAACTACAAAGTAATAGAGATATAGCAATACATTTAACACTGAAAATAAAACTATTAGTAAGTACTACGTGATTGTATTTTTAATTGAATGAACAGGTAGAACTAAATTTTAATGAATGTAAAGTTATGAAATGTAAATAAAAATACACACATTGTAATACAACAGCAGTGTACTATACAATTCTATAATATGTTCGCGTTGTATCCATTAATAAATCATTACATTTGTAATACCAGTTGACTATTTCTAAGGGAAATAATATGCATGATACACAGCTATCCATTTCTGAGGTGTCACGTTAAACATTTTAAGAGAATTTAATATAGCACATACAAATATTCAAAACAATTACATTTCAAAATAAATTTAAAAAATAGTTCAACTCCTTGCAAACTGAATACAATAATATTAAATCAAAAAATTAAACTGGATTATAATGTGTGTATAAGCCATTAATATAGTATGTGGATAAACTGAATTATAGACTTTGTAAAATTAAAATAAATGATTAACATAATATTAATAAAATATATTACATTTTACATACCTCGTCTTAAAATATTAAAATTTAAAAACCATAATATACCAGTAAGTGGAGTTAAGATTAAAAACAACTAATTACCACAAATTGGTCAAACACAAACAACTGTCCAACGGATCATAAACACATTTTAAATGAATACATTTTATTATATTGTTGATTTATATAGTTCTTTTAATATGTTTATTTTACAGGACAAACAAAATTAAAAGTCCATGGTTTTGCGCCTTACAAAAACATGAATGTTAAGATTTTATTGTGCAACATTAGTTCTATGATTATATAATGACATTAAAAGTAAAATGTTAAGTCTCATTTCTTAAAAATAATATGAATAAGAAACAATGGCATTCCTTTCAAAAATGTCTCAAACACAATATATACGATGTAATTATTAACCTACTATACAATGTAAAATGTATAATTTATTTATTAAAAATTAAAAATATTAAAATTAAAATTTAATAAAATCAAACTGTTGTACGACTACGAAATTATGAACATAAGTTAATAAGTAGTACTTGTAAATAGTTTAATAATTTAATTTTTTTTTTTTGAACAAAACTAAAAATTTAAAATTAATGAATACATTTTTTTAATTAAACCAGTTTTAATTTAGTAATTAGGTTCAAAATATTTACAGAACCTAAAGGTATAGCCGTATAGGTAATATAAATGTTATGGTAAAATACAAATACCATTAAAATTTGGAATTTACGGACAACAACCTGTGATTTTTCGAATTTTTGGTTTTACCTATTTTGGTAAATTTTAAAGTAATTTACAGAAAAAAATAATTTGGTCAAACTCCGAATAATTAATGCAGATCGTAGTTCAGACTTTAACAAACGATAAATGGTAAATCATGGGATTAGTTTATCCAAAGTTATAAAAATATGACAAAAAAAAAAAGTTATGTTCATCTTAAACTACAATAATAATTAAAAGGTACTATATATTTAATTTTTTCTAACATTTAAGCAAATTTATAGTTTCTTTATCATTAATAGCATTTATAAATAGTAATATATATTTTATAATTAAATACGTAGAACAATTTTTCAATACTAATTAGTAATTATAGATTCATCGGTTTTTATTAGGACATCTTTATGTTTTAGTATATTTATTTTTATTTTTTTTAGAGCCCAAACTTGAATAACCATACGGATTTTGATTTTTGACAGAATTATTGTATACCCCAGAATTTAACAAGATCCATTATAAAAGCCCGGAATTCAGACATTGACCGAAAGGTTCAGAAGTCGGTGAGCCTAAGTTTCACTGGTATTCGTACTTTTACAGTATAGTATAATATATTTATAGATATTTCGATTATAATTATTAATTTGATATAAACATTAGGGTCTAAATAAAATGTTATATAGTATATAATACCTATTAATTATTCATTTAAATATCAATATATTTGTCATTATTATTGTACGCATAACTTTACTTAAGATATCAAACAAATATTATTATGATTAGAGTTTTGACACCTGCAAGGGCATGCTGGGGCATTTATTTTGTGTAGTGGAGGAAGGGAAATGCTATAAACAATAAGTTTATACTAATATTATGCATAAACTCTATGTGTGTGTGTGTGTGTATGTCCAGTGTTCATGTGTGCAGGATATTAATATATTTTCTTCAAGATCATATTATTGTTGTTTTGTGTATTTTAAATAGTATATTGGTATTCTAAGTTGCACATGTTTCTATTATTTTCAATGATATAGTTTTATAGAGAGTATTCTTATGCACAATGAGTCTAAAAAATATCATATGATGTTCACTTCCCATTTGAAAAAATGCAAAAATATTAATCCGCAGCCTAGACTCATATCAGTTATGCATTATACATCATAAAAACGTCCTCGGTAAATGCGTGTCGGACCATCTTTCACGTACGCGTTCTAATATTCAGATATTATTCCACGACAAACAATTTCTTTAAGCTTGCCAATATAATTATTATGAAAATGCATTGATAAAACTTTGAGACTGACAAAATATTTATTTAAAAATATCTTTAATTTGACTATGATTTTTATTTTATTTTTTCTCTAAGTTATTGTTTCCTGTTTATTCACTGTACTGTGTAATTATGTAAATAAAACAAATAAATCTATGATAATATAATACATATATACATATATATTGGCCAAGTACATAAAAGGGTCAATTTCTATTTGTACATTTGGCTCGAAAACAAAATTTACTTAATGATCTATTTCATTGCAAAATTCAAACTATGAAGATGCATCATGGTCATTTGAGACATGAATATAATATAATTCTAATCACGGTGCCAGAATTCAATATGATCATGCTCATCGATATGAATTATATTTATCTACACGTACGAGATGTCCTTAAAAATGGTGGGGTATGAGGGCCTTTTAAACAATATATAAACTGGAGTCGACCAAGATCGAATCACATCACAATCAATCACTTCAAACAGTACTACTACAACCAGTAGAAGAAGTATTCGATTCACAGACTCAACAACCTCTTCAACATGAAGGTAAGTGAAACAAACATATATAGCCAGCAAACGAATAAATCGATTATTTTACGTTCCAACGACAATCCGTCCTGACTAATAGAAACAAATAAATAATATCAAAAACATTTTCAGGTATTCATCATTCTGCCGTTAGTAGTTGCCATGATTTCAGCAACCGACGTAGTCTTAACCGGTGCACCCGCGGCATACGTTGCGTCTTCGTACACGTCGCACGGACCAGTCCCTTGGGCTTATCTGCAACCGTACTACCAATCAGCACCGTTAGTGGCATACACGGCATACACAGCACCAGCGGCCAAAGTTATCGCCACTGCCCCGGCTAAAATCGTTACACCACCAGCCAGAACCGTTCCTGTCGCCGTGGCCCCAGCAAAACTTGTCGCACCGGCTGTACCGGTCGCCAAAGTCGTACAAGTCGTGCCCGCTCAATTCCAGCCCGACCCATCATACACATTCGCGTACCAGGTACAGGATCAGATAACTGGCGACTCCAAGAGCCAAGAGGAAACCCGCCAAGGAGATGTCGTCAAGGGCCGATACAGTCTGATCGAACCCGATGGCACCAGGAGAACCGTAGACTACACCGCTGACCCAACAAACGGATTCAACGCGTACGTACAGAAATCGGACGTGCAACAAGCCGTATTCGTACCATCGGTATCAACAGACGATGTAGAAACTATCAAAGTAGACACCATCGAAGTTGAACAAGCCAGGTATGCGCCCTCAGGCTCCAAACCGTTGAAGAATACGCTAGCTGTGCCCGAAACCAAGACCAAAACAGGTTATTGATAAACGTTTATTACAATGAATGTATACTTTGCTAAACAAAATCCAATTTAATTTATAATATAGAGTATAGACAGTTATGTTATATCATTATTCATTATATATATATATATTTATTTATTCAAATAACAATCTGTAAAACAAAACAAAAACCCAAATAAAGTTAATTTATATATTTATAAATATGTTTGTTTTATTATTGTTAAAATCAAAACATTTTGATAGCTTTATCAAATGTTTCATGTAAAAAAATGAAAAGTGAATGACTTTTGTTCTCTCAATAAATAACTGGTAAATGGTAATTAATACAGTTACAAGTTATACACAATAGTCAATAAGTACGGTATAAAATGACCATCGCCCATCAATCATCACTCATCACGTATCAAGTAATTTATTTTTATCGGCTACTAAAAAGACAATTTGTTTTCAGCCTAACCCTAAAGACGCGAATTCACCACAATATGTTATTGAGTTAGGTAGTAAAACTGTAAAACCACTCACATAGTCACATGCCTAAACAGTATCAGTCAAATTCTTTGTTCAATTAAATATTTAAATCTCCACACAAAACTGCTTAATACATTTTACTTGGTAACAAAAAGTTTATTAAATATAATACAGGTAGAATATTTAATTACGAAACAAATTATTCACACAATTTATTTTACTTTCCAATAATTATAAAACAAATCCCACTAGACTAATTAATACTTTAGTATGTTTTAAAAACTAGATTATCGATTTATACACATTACATTTTCAGAGTGGAAGTATTCAAATACTACCTGTAGCTTCCATATAGTTACATTTCATAGTGATTAAAGAATTCGTTTATTAATAATATTAACCATCAGAAGCGTATAATTAATATTATTTTTATACAACAAAAACTGCATGTACCTATACCTATCACACACGAAATTATGAGAGTAATGTGAATACCAAATATATAAGTAGTCGCCATATTATAAAACTATTGGCATTCACAAAATATCACACTGAGTTTATTATGTTAGCAGATAGGTACCTATAACACTTTTATCACTTGAATATTAATTTCCAAACAACAAAATAGATCCTAAAGAGAACTGTTATTAATAAACTGCATTTATATCATACAATAGCAACAACGGATGGTTTTCATCACATGCATTTAGAATTGAGATAATTATCTGATTAAGCTAGTAAGACATATTTTACTTCCCACATAACATATTATTTTAGGTAGGTATACTTAGAAACCATTTATTCTTGTTAGCAAAACTGAATTACTTTAAACTGCCAATGCTTAATTAAAATATAGTAAAATTTGGAAGTGGTTCCTAACAACTAGGTAGGTAACTTTCAGAAACGTTGACATTGTTTTTTTTAAATATATGGTGCGCGATAACATAATGATATACCTACGTTCTACATATATTATAATTTATTTTATGTTGTTATTAAAATAAACCAACTAAATCTAACTGGCGAAAAAATTAAATATAATTTAATTTCCTAGTTAGGCAAAAAAAATAATACAAAAAAGATTCTAACCTTGACTTCCAGGGTCCTCTTTCTCCGCACAGGTAGCCTTTAATCTGTCTCCATTTAGCACGGACCAGTAATCTTTGAGCCTTTTTCTGATTTTCCATTAAATATATTCTTGATTCTTCTTCTTCTTTCTTAATCTTAAAAGGCTCTAATATCAACGCCTAAAGAATAACATAGTGATTATACATAATTTCAGTGTTTCTAGTAAGATTTAATGAAAGCGAGTTTAATGACCGTGACAAAATAAATGCACATCGCTTAATTGATAAGCTAGGCTATAATATATTTATTAATAACTTAACCGAAAAATATTCATACGCTGAATATAGTGCTAATTAGATTAATACTCAAAAATAGAAAGTCAGCAACGATAATAATTTTATAGTAGGTATGTAATAGGTACTTCCTAAAGTTAAGCAAAAACCACGAGTCACTAAATCTATTCTCCAAAAAAAATTACATGTATAGAGATCTCAAGTATGTTATAGGACGTTATGTAATCAAATTATAATGGTCTCTATTAAATAATGAATTAAGCCCACTTGTATAGTAATTGAATTTTTAAAATAAGGTGTAAACCAACTGCGCATATTAAATGACGTACAATTTTATTACCTGAAACGATTTTCGACTTTCGGCTACAAGTTTACTCCTGGTGTCCAATGCGTTCTTGTATGACTCATAGCACTCGGCCCAAAACGTATTCATGGACTCGGTGATCTCGGCATTCATAGAACGTCGGTAGTCGTTGCAAAGGTCTGATACCTGCGCAAAAATAAAATACCGATTCGTCATAAACACCACATCAATCATCATCCGGCGACTGTCGTACTTTCCATTTTACAGGTGTGACAAGACAGCGTTCTATGAATATCACCCATTGTGATTAGAATTTAAATCACATCTTCCGGGGGGTCAAAGGTAAACATGCAATTATTTAATGTGTCAGTGTTATGACGAACAGCGAATTTCTCTGTGTACCATTATAGAATGAGGGTGTCAGTGAATGGAACAAGACAATGCTAATTCGGGACTGGTGAAACTATACAGTATACCTATATGTATTCGCATACATATTATGTTCTTCAAGAATGGCTCAACCTAGTTTGATTAATTATTTTTAATTGGACGTCGTAAACTACTTGATGACAACTAATCGCTAATTAAAATTATATGTAGATACCGCTAGTCACGTTTAAGAAGAAAAAATGAAAATATTAAAAACAAAAAGACAAAAAATAAAATAAAAAACCTATAGTGGGATTTATTATTTTTCTTGTAGACAGGTAGTTTTACCTACCTACAAAGAATTGCATATGACTCCAACCCAAGTTAAACATAGCATGTAGCTTTCTATTCATTTATGTCCACTTGCTACACCCGAATAAAATCGGACTTGGGTCGTGCCGTCCAAAAAACAATGATTTCACTTTCCGAAACCTCTCGTGACCCCTTCATCGATAATGGTGGCCAGACACCGTGAGAAACACTTCGTTATATTATTGTAATGATTATTCGCCGCCGCCACTGCTAATGGTGTATTTTTCCAGTGAAAGGAATAACCATCACACATTTCAATATCATATTATTATACTTTATTATGACGTGAATCTGCTACCCGCTATGACTTTCCCCTTCCTACACCCTACAGTCTAGTACTAATCCCGACAATTGTCGATTGTCTAAAAAAATGCTATACTTTGCATAATATTTCGACCACGCCAAATATAATTATGTTTGACGTCGAGATATTATTTTTTTTTTGTCTATAGAAAATTCGTCCAAAGATGACTTTGCCCGTTTGCCGTGTTACACACATACATAATAATGTTTGTATGAAGGTATATCATACCGTACACATTGGAACACTTTCGCTAGAATTACATGTTATATCGGAACAATGGGATTGAAATAAACGAAACGAATATCATTCTTAAAGAAGAATATTATTCGTATGGAAAAACGATTGGACAATGGTATTTGGAACAATATTCTTATTGAAAAAATATACCAAAATATTACATTCATATAGAATTATAGAACACAGAAGAGAGCGTTGTAATATCAACAAAATATGTTTATTATTATATGGGTAAAAAATCTTTATTAAACTATACAGGTAGTTACTGTTATAGAGTTATTATTTTAAAACTATTATCGAAGCAAACCTCTTCCGGAAACGTAGGTTCATTTTTATTTTTTATAACTTCAATGCACACATTTTATGGGAAAAAAATTTACTATAGTTACACGCTTATAGTATTGATCAGAGACATTATTTTGAGACTGGGAAGTCTTCAGACAAATTATATTTAAAATAAGTTATTACTTATTATATTTAATTAATATTGATGAATGACACTCAAATAATATTGTAACTAACTCAAAATAACATATTATAAACAAAAATAAACAAAATATTTTATTCATACAGTTCAATATCCTTCGTATAATACTCAAAATATTTGAATTACAACTGGAATATAATTAAATGGGTGTTAGAACTTTTAGGATGATTTCGATGTGGTATATACTAATAATGTACACGATAGTACTAAGCGTCATAGTAATTTTATAAATGTGCGAATAAAACAAAAACAATTAAGATAATCCTAATTTTACATTTATTTCATAAATACGGAACCAATACTGTATGTATAATGTAACTACATGGGGTGTAAGTCTAATTTTAAGGTTTATAATGATTAGATAGTTTAATTTTTCATATTATCTTAAATATCTTAATTGAAAATATTATTATTGACATTCAAATATTTTGTTATCTATGTGAATATTAGCATTTTTAATTATTATGAATTAATGAAATATTTTAGAAAAACAATAAAGAATTATAATTATTTTGTTTGTAAATTATTAAAATATTCTATTTAATCTGCTTGTAAGTCATAATAAGTCATAACCAATTTTTCATAAATATACTAGCGTGTTTCCATAGTGATTGGTGAATTGGAAACACTTAATATAATATCTCGGCGTAGAGTTGTTCAATTTTAGCCAGAATTTTGTTTATCATCTCTAATACACATATGTACCTATGGTATAGCTATTGGTTTTATTCTTACGAATTTCAATTTAATACGTGCGCAGTAAATACATATTTAGTAGGTAGTTTCAGTTATTATGCAATATGCATATATATCCAACGCGAACATATGGTATAAAAGGCATATATTATTGCACATTATCATTGCAGCACAAAACTAATTTTAAAATTAAAGAAAAATGCTCGTTATTGTAGTAAAATCAGTACGTATAACGCTTAAGTAACAAAATTAAAACTGAACAAAATAAAAATGTGTATATTTTGAAAATTTCACTTTTATATGAATATTAATAAAAATTTAGATTACATCACACATTTATGTAAACGAAATTAATTTAAAAACATCAATTTATATATATATATATATATGTCTCAATGAAGAAGGAAGCAATTTGAGTAGTTAATAGTAATAGGGTTATAGGTTATATGCGAATACCAATGGGTCAGAATAATTTATTTTGATTGCTAAGAGAACGCTTACAAGTGATTGGAGATTTGATAAGAAAAATTCAGGCCCGTAATTACAATGAATCCTGAGAGATTTCAGCTTCACTTTTTAGTGATTTTTTGTGGTCCCTTTGTGAGATACGTATTCGAAATTTTTTACCATTTTAGTCATGCATATATTTTAGAAATTAGATTATTGATAAGAAAAACAGGTTATCTGTAAGCTGCTCGCTGCAACTACTCCAGAATAACATGGAATTATGAATCACAGAATGTCACACAATAAGGTCTGTCGATATAAAGCTTCCAGAAAATCTTCGGTATTAATTTACGAGCCTCAATGTTGTCGGTTAGCATTATGTCGATATAATGAAGATTTAAATCATGTGATTTTTTTCGTACTTAAATATTTTTAGCTTCCTATCAAATAGTCCATTCAGTATATTATTTTTACGATTCCAGTTCCAACTTAACACATTGTTGTTGAATGCAAAACAAGTTTTACAATACTATTGATGTCATTATAAAAAACACTGACATGATATTTGTTGTGTGCATGGCAGCATAGTATTTGAAAGAGTCTTAATTTAGTAACAATGTACAAGGGTAAGGGCCAAGTTCTGCTCGGGACAATTATTTTAATTTATTTGACCCTAGGAAAATACGAAAAATATTATCTTCTGTATTTAATACAAATATCGATAAATATAGTATGGACAAAGATAAAAAAAATCAGCAAATAATTAACAAATATAATTGAATATCATTGAAACTGACAAAAAATGTTGTATAACAAACAAGTATTGAACTATGTTAAGAACAGAATAGTGATTTGAATGGAGGAACCAATGTATTCATAGAATATTTCGATATTCTTATGTGGAATAAATAATATATAATTTAAGAATAAATTCAAACATATTGATGTACATTTAGTATAGTAAACCTATTTTATTCAATGTAATTTTATCAGCGTAAATTTTATCACAAGAAAATGAAAAATGTTACAAAATAGTAAAATTGTCTTAAAGTTATCAAATACGAGAGTAGATTAACGTCTCATTGTAGAAATATTTAATAATACCGTTAATAATTTGAATTGCACAGTACAAAGGGTTGCGCTATCATAATTAGTAGAGTGGAAATACTGATTAAAACATTAAAACCTGAAGGTTGGTTTTACGTTTAATTTTTTTTTAAATTCTTATAAAAACAAATTTTGGGTAATCTTGGATTATATGTCTTAGCTTTTTGAAGGATAGTTATTAAGTATAAAAAAAAGTCCAAAATTTCAAATGTTTATCAAATAGCTCAAAAAGTGCTAAATATCATGTGTCAAAGATGCTGATACAAATATTTGATAAAATTTCAATTATTAGTGTAGAGTGCTTAAATATTCCGATTTGTTGAAACTTTATTTTAGTTTTTCCTAACTATTTGAGTTCTTGGATTTTCCACTATTTCAATAATTCTGGTTCTGTCAGTGCATAGGACAAACTGGATCAAATTTACAACAAGAAATCACCCTAAATGTTGATGTTTGACACATTCTTGTAGTTCCAACTTAAGGATGATCAGGGATAACACACACAAAACAATAAAAAACACACATCATTGCAAAACCAATGCATTCGTCACTCAGAGTTTAAAAAGTATTCAAATACTAGTATACATGAATAATTTACAAGGTTGATAATTATTATTAGTGAAAACTCGCATTTTGGAATTTATTTAGTATTTTTTTAGACGATTTTTACGTCAGAAACTGGTCCATCGCCGACGTTACACAGTTAGTCACCAGCTGACCATCATGCAAGACAATCTTAATTAACACACCTCGCGGCTTTCTTTTGACGCGATGAAAGTTTCGTACTACCATGTACCCAGTAATGGACTGAGGAACTCGAAACGGCATCGCGCGCTCGTATTATTATATTATTCACGGTCAGCTACATATCAATTACAAAAGCAACGGAGAGAGAGAGAAAGAAAGAGAGAGAAAGAGAGATATACAAAAAATTAAAAAAATGTTCAGTGGGTTTATGGGATTACGGCTATTATGGTATTTTCCACGGAGTGTAAGTGGGAAAGTAAGTTCCGGGTGCTAACGCTGCAGAGCGAGAGAAGAAGACATCCGTCGAGACAGCTCGACAAACCAGCAGTGAGTTCCAGGACGCCGCTGTATCGACAATCCGCGACTAGTGCGCGCAAAGTGCAGTTTGTAACCTTAAGTATTATTATGATCATCGATCAATAGATCACCATCGCTGTTGGTTATACATTACCAGCTACAGTTACTACTGACGGTGTTGTTTTTTATGGTTTTGTAATTTGTGCGTCGAAATTGTTCGTCTATAAGGTTTTTTTTTTGTTCAGAAAATTACATCTATAGTGGATTAGAACCAACGACAACATGATGGTTAAACGGATTGTTCAAACGGTAAGTAATGTGAAAACCAACAAAAATTAATACATAACTAACCAACTATTCGTGGATAAAAACCACACGTGATATTAAAATTGTAAAATAATATAGGTTTTGACTAGTACATATAAGCACCAAAGCACATAAAAATAAATATAAGAAATAATTGGTGAATAATACTTATTTACACAACAAATAATACTCAAACATTCATGAACCATGATTATTAATAAAGATTAATAAAGTTACAGCAATAATAATATAATATTTAAACAATAAGGAATCTAAATGAAAACTGTATATATATCACTTCCAACAGATCTACATCGATAGATACTTACTACATAATTAGAAACGTTAAGTCTAAAAATAATGTACCAATTTAAAATGTAACTTAAGATAAAGATTATATCAACTTTTTTCATTTAAATTCAAATAGTTATCTCTAGTAAAATAAATTCGATTACATTTTATTTGTAATGTATCACAAAAAAAAAATTAAAAATGAAATTACTTAAAAGTTTTTAAAAAATATTCAAAAAGTATGCTTTTTGAAAATTATCTTATAGGAAAATTTAAGATACGTGTAATTTTAACATTTAATATTGCCCTTATTTTTTTCACCGTTTTAAATTTCTAAAAAAGTATTACTTTTCAATAAGATCCATGAGTGTTATTACTGTAAAAAAACCTTTATATATAATTATTATTATTGCATCAACTTGTAACTATTATACATAATAAAACCTAACTAGTTATTTGCCTAACAGTATTTGATGTCAAATAATAAATACTTTATTAAATATGTTTTACAAAATTAAACAAAATTACACAAATATTGCAAAAATGTAGAGACGCTGTATAATCATGTTTAGTTAAATCAATTTTTGATATTTTGTTCTAAATTACAAATTGAACTATTTAAATTAAACTGTTCAAAACGCAATTTTGGTTAAATGCAGTTTCAAAATGAAGTTAACCTAGTGGTTAAGAATTTAAGATAGATGGATGTCTAAACTCTTCTCAACTCAGACCGGAAACTATAATAGGTACACGATTAATCTATCGACTGTACGTATGTAAAAAAATATTACTATAGTTCAATAATTCAACAATGCTACTATGTCTGAAATTTAAATTGTACATAATTTAGCATATAATAATAATTTTAAAAATGCTGGAGTAATAAGACAACGTTTTTAGTAAAATAGATACAGTTTACCATTGGCCAATGTTATTCTACAATCCATCAAAAAAATGTATAAAATGACTATATTTGTTTATTCATACAAGGTAATCTATTAAAAATTCTTAAAATATATCGATAAAAGATACTTAAACCCATAAGGAGTTTGAAGGCTAGATGCCAAAATGTAATATACCCCATTCCACTCCCATATTTTATACGACTCTGTGTCGATAGCATGTGTTTAATCCCTCAAATTGTTCTTACAATTTAAATTACCCCATATTCAGAATAAGATTCAAATCACTGCTAAAATGGTAAAAAGAATTTATTTAAAATTTTTTCTTCATTCAAATAGTTTAAATTTTTGGCGTAGAACAAAAATACTTGGTTGGATAAATTATACATTTTCAAATAATATTCATGTTATTCAATTTAAAAGCGTTAAAATATTAACCACTATAACATGTTTTTGACAAATATTTCATAATTTATAACAGTTTTCTTGATTAATTTTTTAATTTTTAGTTGTATGTAAATTTAATATTTATACTAACTATACCTACCTGCCTAATGTATAATCATCATTTTTTTAAAAAGATTTTTCAATGTATAATTCATTGTTTTTTAAAAACCTTTTGTCTTGCAACCATTTATTTTAGTCTGTTAATATAATAATGTGATTAATATATTATTAAAAGAACAATAGTCCAATATGATAAACATGAACATTTTAATGCTCATACTTTAGGTATTCATTTTATATTAAACTTTAGATTAAATTAATTAATTGTATATTGTGGTATATGGATTAATATAACAAGTCACATCCAATGGACAATTGTTTTATTATACAAATTGTATTATTTATCTTGAAAGACATTTTTCTTTCTTAAATAAACAATATTTATACATAAACCATTTGTCACTGTAATTTATAGTTGAAAATGAGAGAATAAATAATTTAGATACGTAAAAACCATATTAAGAAGCATCCCGTTAAAATAGAAATTAGTTTTGAAAAATCCATATAAATAAAAGCACATAAATCACACGAAGGTAAGACATTCATTTTCACTTTTCTTAGACGACAAAAGAGAAGACCCCTCCCCTTCCCAATTTTACGTATGAATTTAAAACCTTATATACTTTCACGGTTTTCCGCGAAGATTTCATCACTTCATCAGTGATAATTTACTAATACATTATTAATATTAAAATCAAGATATTTTAAAATCTTTTGATTTCTTGTAGTGAAATACAAACTAATTATTATTCTATGATGTAGTCTTTAAACTATTTATAAAATCATAATGTTCATATAATTCATATAATAATATAATACACATCTAGTAGTATCTATGTTAATGCGATATTTTGAAAAAATTAGTTTAGAAAAATAGTAACACTGACAAAAATACTAAGTATTGTTTTAATTTTTAGATTTTTAGGTGACTAATTAAAAATTAAAATATTAAATCCATATATTATCAACCATTAAAATGTACCTATACTTAGTGAAATATTAATGACCAAAAATAAAACTGTTTTTCTAATCACTGTAAAAAAAATAGACCCAAGGTATAATAAATAGTTTATATAATTAATTTAATTTTGTACTTTTATTTCTACTAAAACTTATCAAATACGAGTATACCATATAAATCATTTAAAATGTGTATAACTTGTATAGCGTATTAGTGTATTGCGTATAGACAGAGTCTATTTACTATATAGACGTACCTATAGGCTATAGCAAGTAGCACATTATAGTATTAGATAAATTTATAATAATCAACAACCTGACAATACTTATAAGGTCAATCTTCGATGTAATATAATCATAATATTTTATAGGTATATATCAAATACATATTTTAATTTGATTAAAGCCACAACTACAATGGTAAATGGCTCTTATTATAATACGAGTATTATATACAAACTACCTATAGGTATCTTGAGCGATCAGCTGTACTAGCCAACTACCACATATTTTGATAATCCCTCGGATGATTTATCTAAAATACATTTTTTTGCGATTGCCATGACAACTATAAAACACTGATTATTGTTATTTTTATATATAAGAGTATTGTATAAAAAAAGTATCAGAAATAAAAATGAATTACAATCACATATCGTAGAAACAAAATATAATTAAGAATATACCCAAAAGAAACGAGAATATGATTTCTTCGAGGGCAGTGGATATACATTTGTAAAGTTTAATCTACATTTGACTCTATTTAACGATTAAGACAGAATTTTCCGAAAATGTGTAAAAAATAAAATAAAATAAAATGTACAATCTATGCTTACTGCTTAGTACTATATAGTTTCTCAATTGGTTCACCATATCACAAGCTTATGTTGGATAATACTGCATGCATTTAAAATTTATATAGTAAAAATTTCATACTAAGAGGAGCTCTAGATTATATAGTCCATACAATGAATATAAATATGATATAATACAGATCCAAATGTATATAATAACGTTTTTTAAATATTAAGTGAGAATGAAAATAATTTAACAATGTATTTAGTCAAACAAATATTACAGCCGAGTAACTTTATATAAGAAATTAAAAAGTACATAAAAACATCTTAATACTCTTTTAATACTCAAGTCAGTAAACTAAAAGCTGCCTTATTACAACGAATCTAAACAATAAAATACTGTCGTATATCTGATAAACAATTAAATCAAACCAAATGTAAATGACAAATTTTTAAAGGGCACGGGACATTAAAATAAGTATAGAGTACATTTAATTATTTTTTTAATGTATACCATAAGTCTAAATAAGTGGTTATTTCAATAACCTCTAGAACGCAGAACTGTTAAAAATATTATAGAATGTATACAAATATTTATCATTTTTCAATTCATGAGTGTCCTATCAGTCATGGCACATTTTTAAGGAAAAATATTTGTAAATTTATAAAACTGTGTAAATTGGCCATATGAATTTTCTGAATCGATCTGTTTAATTAAAAAAGTAATTTTATGTTTATGTACCATCATTTATAATCTGAAATGAATTAATTTAATTCAGTTATTTTCATAAAGTGGAAAATAAACAATTGCAACATTTTTTTTTAATTTTTATATTTTTTTACTTTTTTTATAAATAATAACTAAATTAATAACTACTAATAAGTAAAATATTTATTCCAATATTCACGGAGTATACTTTATTTTAATGTTTATTTAAGTTTTAGTTTTAATTTTAATATATTGACACACAAATAAATATTTAATAATAATAACATAATTAAAAATATTGTATAAACTTTATTTTACAACTTCATATACTTAGTGCTTACCTATTATATTACCTAACGCAAACGATTTGCAATTGTAATACATTTTCTATTTTTAATTATTAATCATTAATAGGTATAAAAACAAACCAGGTATATTGTATTGGTCCAATGTAGGTATCTAAATATTAAGTAAATTCGAAGGTACCATACAAGCTTACTAACTATATATGCACTCGTTTTAAACAGAATAAGGACTTGAAGTTATTAAATAATATAGATGGATACAAAAATACAATATAGTAGACGTGTAAACAATCTTAAAGAAGCCGAATAAAATATTTATAACGTAATTAGTACATCCAATGATTTAAATCACATGTTATACTTATTATATTTTTACTTTCTTATATACACTACCTACACGATCAGTGATTACTGTATTAAAAAGTTATAACTCCGAAATGTTTTATTCAGCCGAGTATAATAGAATAGGTAGGTAGTCGTCCATCAACGCTATTTTAATACTGTTCTATAAAAATGAATAACAATGATTTCCAGTGAAAGTGTAATTCTATTTTTCACATATGTCAATTAATATCGTTTGTATAGTATTTGAAATGTAATTTATTTGTCTTTTCAAAGATGACCCGTCTCACTTAACTCGGTGCACGTATTGAAATTTAAAATAGCATAGGTAGTCTTTATTATGAGGTATAATAAAGCGAAAACAATAGTATCAACAAGTTAAATAAACATAATTATAAATGGTCAATTAGATGATAATCAGAAGAATTATACTATAAATTAAATATAAGAAATCGTTAACCCGTTTCATTTTACCAACGCAGTTTTAATACTATTTTACTAGATACAGTTTTATAAACATATAAATATATAATAATATAGTACTCGTATATATTAGTCATGAAAAATCAATGAGCACAATTATGTCACTGTTCTACATAATTGAGATTGGTTGTAAACGGTTCAATTTTCAATTTATCGATTTGAAACATACAGTTATTTTGTGTTATATATATTAATTAATTTAGAAGATGTGACACTGAAAATTGCAACATATGAATAAACTCAATAGTTTACATTTTACCTAACAATACATATGCAACTTCTTTGGAATTTTTTTTCTATTATTTTAAAAGACATAAATTTAATAGCTTCTAAATTTGAAATTATTTAAATTAGATCTCATCAATGGGGTTACTATTCTTAATCGCATTAGAAAGAAAAAACAAGGGGTCATAAACATAGGTCGAAGAATCGGTGCCAGTAGATGAAGGTCAACACATCAACTAGAACCAGTGGTCAGAAATGTTGTCCTGAACATCCGGTATACCTACCAGCTACCTATATTTGTGTTGTAATATTCATAACGATGCCCCGATCTCATTATTCTACTTTCATATGGACACGAGGTTAACAAATTATAAAAAAGATATTTATACATGTTATAAACTTATAAATGTAGTATTTCAATTACAATGGGATTCCACTTTGCGTGTGATCATCACTATATAAGATGTTATAATCGAATCGTCCGTTTTATTGGAATCTCTTTCGTAAAACCTGGTTGGTCTCATATAGGTATTGTGTACCGTGAGTTATCGTTGCATAGAACAACCCCATAACTAAATCATAACACCTCTCAATATACAAACGTGATCTCGTTGCGAAGTACACAAACTGTATAAAATGTCATATTCTATTAAACTATCTATTACACACGATGTCGAATAAGAAAAAAAACAGACATCTGAAGTCCTACGCGAGTGAAAAAGTGAGATGTTATGTAAGTTCCAACAATATACAAGTATTATAGGATAAACTAAAATGCAAAAATACGATATGTCATACACACTACACATTTACATTATACAATTTATGCATTTAATCTGTCACCTGGGAGTTTGCATACCTAATATTTATACGATTTGTAGACTGTCAGATACTTGAACGGCTGAATCATGCTAAATTACAATACTAAATGGGTACGCTTATATGATGTACATCTATATTATATCACTATAAAAGTGAAATGCCTATATACATCAAGTTAGAATAATTTGCCATTCTTGGTATAGGTGGCGTGTGCCTGGCCTGCGGGAATAATCATTTCTAAGAAAAAATTAACGAAAAGCCACACATTTACATTTATTTTTCTTGAACATATTATATATTATATGCGCTAAATCAAAAGCTATTAATCTCAATAAACAAAAATAACAGGATATAGATACCAGGTGTTGAACACTAATTTCGCTTTGATACAGGATTGTGGAATATCATTATTATTATTATAGTATTATACATTCGATTATTCGAAAGCAACGACAAACATTAAAAAAAAAAAAATGATTGTGAGCGGAGCTCGGTTTTTCTAATTATGTTTATAATAATCGTATCTATGTATTTTTTTTTTTTATTATTATAATACAGTTGAAGTTTAAAAATAGTGTAAGAGGTACAATTTATATAATTTCAAATATAATAAATAATAATAAAATACCCTATCGATAAATAATTTATGGATGATTCAAGGTGAGGGAATTCATTAACAAAACGCATAGGTAAGGTAATACAATGTGGGAGTTTAGTTTGTAGAAATATAGTAAGATGAGGAAAACATAGTGAAGAAGATATGACACCGATTCAGTATGAATATAAGGGGTATAATATTATGATGCTTATAAGAATGAAACAATATTTTCATTTACGCATAAATACATTAACGGTTACAGACGTGAGTCACCTGATAATAAAACTCTACATCCAAGTTTTAAACAAAAATTAAAATAACAGTGATATCAAATCAAGTTAATTCGGCATTAATAATTATTAATAGTTGGCAAAAAAATATCATTGGAAAGGATTTTCGAGTAGATTATGTATATGAGACAACAATCAGCTGGCTCAGATTTCTAAACAATAATCGTAGTTTTCTCATTATGGTATCCTGGTTATTATGAACGTGCAAAGTTACTAATAAAAAAATATAAAACTTACTTTTTCAAAATAACCAACAATATAAAATTTAAGATCTACCTACACAATTATTCCGGGAAACCATAGCTTTTTACTGTCATAAATAAAAAATAATAAATAAGGAAAATATAAAACGAAAAAAATGTTTTATAAACATTGCTATCCCTATTATATCTCTGATTAGTCTAAATAAATGGATTTGAAATTAAATTTTAATCTACCTTATTTTACATTTAATTATAAAGTAGTAGGTGAGGTATACATGAATTGTAATCTCTATAATATGCATTATACACATTAGTTATTACTTATTAGTTATTACCTACGTTTTAAAAATAAATAGCTTTACACTGTAAATTAATTATTATTTATTTATGTATTGTATGTACTATCTATGCTTTACAGAATACCTAACAAAAAAATATAGATCAACAATAAACTAAAAAGTGTGATACAGAAGAATAGACAGGCATAGACTAGTGTTATTAAATTTGAGAGCAATGATGGGTCATCGAATTTGAAAATTGAATTGAACGCAACTTAGATTATTTATTTGAAATACTCAATACTAATACAAATTATGTACAATGAATGAGCATTTTCAACTTTATACACTCAAGAGAAGAATACTGTGAATTGTATAAAAATATTTACTAAATATTTATTCAACAATCAAGGTCTTTGACAATACTAAACTAAAAATTTTATTATAAAAGTTTAAAACTAAAATGTCTTAAAGTTTTTAAAATAGTACAAATATTGTAAAAACATTTTAAAATTGAATGAGTAAAAATGAAAAGTTACTGATAATAAGTCAATTTGTTTATGAAATAGATTATTAACATATAGAGTAAAATAGCATTTTATTCTTGTTTCTTATAAGTATCGTCTAAATCTTTATCATTATTTTTTGGATTTTAGAATCGAAAATTATTACTCGTAACAAACAACGCCTCACTTATTTGACATTCTAAATTATATTTTAATAACAGACATTGTACCTGAATTAATTTTTTGACTAAACAAGGAATTTTTTTTTTTTGTTACAGATACTATTACTGACTACATTAATAAGTTTCTACAACATAGTAGATGCTGAAGATAAGACACATGTTAGAATACGAAGAGAACCGCCTTCGAAGTATGGGCCACCAAAACCATCAAGACCCAGACCAATTTATGGACCACCAAAAGCTAGTGGTCGACCTAAACCAGTTTATGGTCCTCCACCAAAACCTAAATATGGACCTCCTCCCAAGCCAAAATACGGTCCACCCAAACCAAGTTATGGACCTCCAAGGCCAAGCTATGGACCTCCAAAACCTGTATACGGACCACCGCCAAAGACAAACTATGGACCCCCTAAACCAGTATATGGCCCTCCATCAAAACCAATGCAATCTTATGGACCACCAAAACCAGTTTATGGACCACCATCTGGAGGTGGATTTAAGCCCTCCACTTCATATGGTGCACCTCCATCATCATCGTATGGAGCACCACCATCGTCTTCATATGGAGCTCCACCATCATCTTCATATGGAGCACCTCCGTCATCTTCATATGGAGCACCTCCGTCATCGTCATATGGAGCACCACCATCGTCTTCATATGGAGCTCCACCGTCGCCTTCATATGGAGCTCCGCCATCAACTAATTATGGAGCTCCACCGTCTTCTTCTTATGGAGCGCCTTCACAAAGTCAATCATCTTCATATGGATCATCTTTGAAATCTTTCCCCTCTTTAACATATGATGCCCCATCGCTACCTTCTTCTTATAGTGCACCACCACAACCATCATCTTCATATGGAGCACCGTCACAGCCATCGTCATCGTACGGTGCACCATCACGACCATCGTCGTCATACGGTGCACCCTCGCTACCGTCATCTTCATATGGAGCGCCCTCACAACCATCGTCTTCTTACGGCGCACCATCACAACCATCGTCATCGTACGGTGCACCATCTAGACCATCGTCATCATACGGCGCACCCTCACAACCGTCGTCTTCATATGGCGCACCTTCACAACCATCGTCTTCTTACGGCGCACCATCACAACCATCGTCATCGTACGGTGCACCATCTAGACCATCGTCATCATACGGCGCACCCTCACAACCGTCGTCTTCATATGGCGCACCATCACAACCATCGTCTTCATACGGCGCACCATCACAACCGTCGTCCTCGTACGGAGCACCATCACAACCCTCGTCGTCCTACGGAGCACCATCACAACCATCGTCATCATATGGTGCACCATCACAGCCATCGTCGTCCTACGGTGCACCATCACAGCCATCGTCGTCCTACGGCGCACCATCGCAGCCATCGTCGTCATATGGTGCACCATCACAACCATCATCGTCATACGGTGCCCCCTCACAGCCTTCATCATCATATGGAGCACCATCATCACCATCTTCTTCTTATGGAGCACCATCACCACCAGCAACATCTTATGGAGTACCGACAAATAGCTACAACGCACCATCTTCTAGTCATTCGATTTCAATAACTCCTTCCGTTTCACTTCCTGTCCCATCAACTGCATATGGAGCACCTTCTAACGGACCTTCGTCTTCATATGATGCGCCATCAAATATACCATCATCTTCATATGGCACTCCTTCTAAAGTGCCATCATCATCCTATGGAGCCCCAACTTCTGGATCATTTAGTTCGTTTGGTTCTTCTTCTCATAGTAACAATTTAGATTCATTTAATATAGGAAGTTTATTTAATTCCCGCACTCAATTTAGTGCACCATTACCTTCCATAACCTATGGTTCACCCAAAGGGAATGGAGACATTCAAGGCTCTTACAGCAGTATATCAAACTCTGTTTCATATCCAGAACCAAATTCTCAATCAACAATAGTTAATTCATATGGAGAACCAACTGATAAAAGAGATTTAGGCCAATCATCAGAAGACTCATTTCATGTGGTCAGCTCACAATACAACACTCAGAGTCCAGATACACAAACAACGCCATCAAACATACTACAAAGGCGCCACAAGGAATCTTTAGAAAGTACTGATAGAGTGGCATCTTCAAATTTAGATGAAAAACTGAAGGGGAAAAAAGTAGTTGTAAACGACAAACTAAATGCATACTTAAAATACATAGCTAAGAGTACACAAAAGCCAGAAATAGGTTTTCAAGCACCTAAAAAGACTTTTAGTTTTAACTACGAAGAATCACCATCTCAGGTAAACGATAGCCTTGCTTCACTAAGTGATAATTCTCCAATTAATCATAAAAGTAATGAATACAATTCTGAACAAAATTCAAGTGCGCATACTTATTCTGACAATCAATGGAAAATCACAGAAAGCCTATGATAAAAATACAAAATTCTGTATTCTATACTGTTATGTTAACGTGTTTAACTATTGTTGAATATGCAATATTATTTTGCCAACTCTCAAGTTTAACTACTTGAAAACATATTGTGGTATGAATATTATCAAATAACCTATTTTTTGCCAATATTTAATGGTGAGTCACTTAAAATATATAGTAATGAATTAAATATTAAGATTTAGATGTATAAATATTAAATATAATATACCATATTTAAATATAATATATATTTTACGTATGTACTATTTTTTTTTTTTTTTATGTTAAACCAAAGGTGAAATAGATTCACGAATTTGTGTACTAAAATGTAATCACCTAAATTATTAAACAGCACCAGTGTAATATAAAAGAGATATAGTGATAAAAACACACTTTTTATACTTAAATCTAAAAATGTGTGGTTTTTTTACTTTGTACTTAACATATAAGTGTATAATTTAATTTCAATATATTATAATAAATAAAATATGATAAACAAAATCTATTTTATTAATGTTACTATATATTAATGGTTTTTTTTAACTAAGAAAAATCATACCCTCATAATATAATCATTTTGGTACCAAAAATATTTCAACATTGTACGTCTACCCACAAAAAAATTCAAAAATGAACAAATATGCTTATAATATACATTATACACATATGCCGTATAGGTGTGTATGCAATATTGAATATAACATTAAAAATGAGTTCTTAAATATCATAATAAATAACTCAACATGCTACTTATATTATTATCAGTGATTTAACTAATGCTTATATACCTGATAATTTAAAGAAAATTGAATAATTGTAAAAACATATAATCTTACCTTAGTTTCGATAAAAACTGTCCATTCTTCTGTAGAACAGTACGGTAAGAATCTGTCATAAAAATTTCCACTGTACAAGACTTCTGTTAAATTTGGGAGTTCTGAGTTAGAAATATTTAGTGGCTCAGACAATTTAGTAATGAGAGTTTTTATTAATGGTAAAATAAAAGAATAACGTTCCATATTATCATCTGAAACATATTTATATTTTTAAGCTTTATCGATTATTTTTTAATTGGAAGCTTTATATTTGATTTACCTTTAAGTGCTTTTTGTAAAATACTATTTGCTGAGCGCAATAAGTAGCATTCAACTTCTATAACACTTTTATTACTTGTTTGTAATATAGTGTGCAACTTAACTGTTGCCATAGCACAAATTTCCATATTAGGACTCGATGAGCAGCTCAACAAAAGTCCTTATAATAAAAATAATTAAATTACAATCAAAAAATTTAATTAAATTTATAAAAGTAAGTATTACTCTATTTTGTTATCATGTCAAATGTGTGTACAAATAAAAAAATGTAAACACCTACTTCCAATTTAAATTAATAAATACCTAGCTAATAACTATGTATGTTTAGGTATATCATAACAATTCTTACCATATGTCTTCATAGCGATATCTTTATTGTACTGTTCTTGATTATCTCCAAATATGGCTAGTTGTTCAATTAATTTTATACAACCATCGAGTAATTTTACTGAACACTTTTTGTCAAAATTTGGACTTGGATCCAATACAACTAAATCATACACCAAACCTATCAACTGACCAATATTTTCCATCTTAGCATGATCACAGTCAACAGTAGATCCAGAATCATGGAGATCACTTAATACTGCTTCAACAGCTTTTTCTAAAATATGTAGCTTCAGTTCTAAATGCGAACAGTATAACATATTGTTTAAACTTAGCATATTTATGCATGCCATAACTTGACCACGTTCCTAAAAAAATTAAATCCATTTAAATAGTATTTTTATATTTTTCATAAATTAAAATTACCTTCCAACAATTTTTGCTATGAATATTGACACCTCTCCACATAACAACAAAAAGAATATTTTCTACCAATGAACATAGATCGTTTTCTTTATTCTCCGTTTTACTACTGGTAAATTCTTGCCAGGGACTATCAAACATAAAACATTAGATACATTCAATAATGTTATGTGCTCAGTTTAAATTTTTTATTTTTTTTTAGATTAATATGAATATTCCAATATATAAGTGTTTCATGTTGCAATGATATTTTAGAACACTTATTTACATTATGTGTTACCAGTAAGATATCAGTATATATTAGCATTAATGGGTTCAAAATTGTTATCAATAACTAAGGGGACTACATTTTGAATAAAAAGTTGGATATACTTCATTATATGATCACATCAAAAAATCATAAAATCTAAACTGCTAGGCAAAAACTAAAATAAGAAACTAATATTTTGTTTCAAATTAGTTTTATTAAAAAATTAATAAAGAAGTTGTTTGAGATATTTATTTAATTTACCATACTCAAGTATTATATTCTGCTTCAGCAAATACTTCATTTATTTATTCTATAGTTAAAAACGAATGTTATATTTAATGCTAAAAAAATAACATTTTATTAAGTATTATGCTTATAAAAAAAGTGGCGAAGTAGGTAACTCTCTGCTGTACATTAGGTGTCAAGAGAGTCACTGTAATGGACGAGTTAACATTGAATTCAATTATTTAAAACAATTGCATACAAAAACGATTCTGAGCGAAGATGGTCTGTCAGCGTACAATATTACTTAGTAATTTAGTACCTACATTTTATGACATTATTGTGATTTAAGTAATTTATACTAAAAGGCTTAGGCATTAATACTATAGTAGGTTGAATTCATTTTTGACAAAAAAATTGTATTTGAAAATTTCATTGTGTATATAAAATATAATAAACTACTCTAAAAGTTTCAAGTACCTACCTACACATAATATTTTTAAATTACAGTAAAAATACTAAAATCTTGGTTAATATGTAATTTTGTCCAAATTTTAACTTAAAATAAATATAAAAAAATACTGTGTTTATAAATTTTTCAGATTTTTTTGTTACAAAATAAACTACTTACGTGAAACATTGTTTTACATTTTCAATCATTAGCTACAAAAATTGAACATTTTATAAATTTTTAACTACAAAATAATTTACAAATTTTCAATTTGGTAAATTTTGTCAAAATTTGAATTTTAAATGCCTATAAAAAAACAATCTTGCCTTAATATTTTTAATATTTTTGAACTGACATTATAACAATATATGAGGAGCCTTGTATTAAATTTTCAAGCTTTTTGACCCAACAAATTATTGACATTTAAGAGAAAAAAATTTTCAAAAATTATCCGTAAAACAGCTCAAAACGAGAAAAAATATTTTGAAAATTGTATCAAGTATCTAGGTATAAAAAATTATAAAATAAACATTTGATATAAATAAATAATTTTTTGTTTTTAAATATAGTAAAATAAGAAGATATTTCCATTAGAAATCGAGCAAATATCTAATGTTGTTTGAATTTCAAAGGCTTGTAAAAAATTTGATTTGACTTTCCAGTATACATTTTTTATTTTTGTGATAACTTAAGTAGAATATATATGAGATAATAATATATAATAGGTAATATATATATTACATTTTCAACTTTAAGGTATAAGAAATAATTTTTTATGAATTTCTAACATGAAATAATTTGAACATATTCGTGAGATTTACGAATTTTGTCAAAATTCTTACTTCAGACGCTCATAAAAAAATATTGTGGATTTACGCTCAACTTTTTTATTTAATTTCCACTTATAACAATGAAGAACTTTGTATTACATTCCCAGGTTTCTTGACCGAACAAAAAGTTGGAACAAATGCTGTTTAATCCCTCCCTTGCCATTTTGATTTTTTTTTTATCGAAACTTTCATACAATGTAGAGTTAAGAACTATGGTACAATCAGAATTTGTCGCTTAGACTTGGTTTCGAAGTTATGGCCTTTGGAATTTTCCCATTTTAAGTTTTTTTCCCTATACTCAATGCACTATAAATTACCAATAATTTCATACATTTTTTTTCTTTTTTGGTACTTACGTATTCCCTGTTTAAAACGATGGTACAATCAGAATTTATAAAATAATTAAGAATAATTACAGAATAAACTTAATATCAATTTAATAATAATAAATATATAATTATAAGACACAATATTATGTTATAAAACATAATATTATATATTATAAAGTAAAATATGTATACAACAATTCGATTGTTGTCTTCGTCATCAGTGCCTGACTCAGACTTAACTGTTTCATCATTATTTTGTGTATAGAATATTAGTGATGGATCATACAAACACCCAGCTTGTTTAAAAAACTCAATTAATGGCTCTAACTTTAAAAGTACGACATCGCTTCAAAAACAAACATTTTTCCAAATACCCAGCGGCCAGCATAAAACCTTTTTTTACAGCAATACTGCGATAATATATTTATGATAATAAAATAAGCTACATTAAGTTGTTTTTAAATTATCTTCAGGTTAACAATAGGATAATGAGTATATTGTAACCTTGGCACTTTGCCTGTTTAAGTAGCATAACTTCTATAAGTTCTATATTAAAATGGTGCCCTCCACCTATCGGCTCCAGTCACCAACCCCCTGGCGCTAAAGTGGGGGGGGGGGGGGGGGTAGCATACCTGACCTTCGGGCAGATGAATGACCTACGTAAACTTAATCTTTATGGTTAAAGAAACACAAGAATAGTGACTCCCTTCGCCTGCCGGCCCCAGTCGTCGAACTCGAGGTTCCTCCGCGCGGCATTAATGTAGTGTTACGTAAAATCGCTAACTTTGGAAGACTACAACTACAAAAGTAAGTCCGAGAGACAAATTATAATAGCACTATTGTTCTTAACTCGTCGAATTACATATGTTTCGATACAAAAAAATCAAATTTGCGAGGGGGAACTAAACTGCATTTATAAAAAAAAGTTTTTATTGATATTAATTTTAAAAATCTATTACAGATCGGAAATTTCATACACCTATAAATAGCTCAACATGAGTCAAAATATTTTTTAAATTATATGGTGTATAAAAAATACTAATATGAACATTCAGTGAAAATGTCATGTAGGTTACGTCATTTGTCGTATGGCAAGTCAATTTTTGCTAGTTACACCAAAAACTTAAATCGATTTGGTGAAAATACGTTTTTGCGTAAAAAAATCCCTTTTTCCCGGTGTCTTTGAAAATTACTAGGAATTTTAAATTTTGATCTCCCAAACGCAGCAATTAAATTTGGTATCACATCGAAAAATATACTGTAGTTAAAAATCGAAGCATTGTTTTGACCACTTATCGTCTACGGGCTCAAAAATAAAATAAGAAAATCAAAAAACCACGTAATCACTGCAAAATCAACACATTCATTGCTCCGCTCAGAATCTAATACATCGCCATCAAAAGTTTTACCTATCCGGTATTTTGTACCCACTGAACAAAATTTTGATTAGTATGAGGAATAATCTGATTGGTTGGGTTAAAGAGCAATAGTTTAACCTTGAAATTATGATTGTAAAATTATTACTTGATAGTATCAAAATCATTCTGATCACTGCTTCCAGCATCTTCACAAACTGTTGATGCATTATCAGACATGATAATTCCAGAACTTATCGAACGATTATCTGGCGCAATTGAAGATTTTATTGACGATATATCTTCAAGACTGCTAGATATAGATCTAAAAAATGATCTACATGATAAATATATAATGCTTACACAAAATAATAAGAGACATGACGAGCCACACAAACTACCCATTTTTTGTCACGCCACTGAGTTCATCGATCAAGACAAAGGTTTAAGGTAATACACTCGATGCACGCAGCAACTAAATTATTCTACGAAAACAATTTCATGAAAGAAAAATGTTTAACGCATCATGCAAGGAGGTTATTAATATGAGTATAAGATGTAACCAAAGTTTACGTTTCGTAAGGACCGCGGTCAAGATTTCAGTGTCTGGTTGTGAAGGGGATACTTTAACCCTTTTGGAGACTACCTGCAGTTTACGGCCCATCACTTTTTGGAATTTCCATTTTACCACCTAGATTCTCACTTTACCCACCACTGGACTGAAAAAGGTCGCTTTCCAACACTTCAACCGTCATCGAAAACTAAACTTTCGATGTGGGCGTGACAAAAAAAGTATAATAATTTATGCCATCGATAGGTGTCTTTTTAAAATTTGTACAGTAATATTTTACTGATGAGTACCTATTAAATAAGTAAATACTTAAATAATATGATTTTCAAGACATACCTATTACTCATACTGTAAGAATCTATATCAAGACCCAACTCTACTAATAACTGTTTTGTCATTAATTGAGCTTTATCTTCATCAATAGTATTTTTATCAGACTGAGGTGAATACATTGCATACTTTTTTATTCGTTCTTTTGCATTTTCTCCAATTTCCTAAGCAGTTAACATATATTATAATTATTACATAATCCAATTAACAATTTCAATTAGTTTACCTGTATTTCTGTGGTTTTTTGTTTAAACATTGAATATGCTGATGTAACAGCAAATGATAAATTACTAGTAGCCGAGTGAATATTACCACTAACACTGTTCATGGCATGTGCTAGATTATCGGATGCAATTTGAATATTGTCACTAACAACTAAACCAACTGTATTCACTGCAGAAGTTAGATTATCTGAAGCATACTGAAGATTATCAGCTACAACTGCTGATACAGATCCAGCAACGCCTGTATAAATATAAATAATTAGAACAAATTGTAATACAGATTTAGGAAGAACTCAATTTTTAATCCAGTTACATTACATTGAATCTTACTTTTTAGATAATCTAAATACATATTTAGTTTAGTACATTTTACAAAAAAGGGGGAATAGGTGTGAAAGATTCTGCTATATAGTAGGTGTCAAGTGTTCCTTGTCGTTAAGTATGTTACAGTAATGTATGTGTCAAATTTTCATTTGTTGATCAATAATTGGGCATACAAAAAATGATTCTGCGAAACAACAGCCTATATCACTATAAAACTAACTAATACAATCAATTGTATGTAATGGGTTTAAATATTTTAAATAAATATATAAAAAAATTAGTTTCAATTACATTTGAATTGCTTTTATTCAGAGAAAAAATTGATTTTAGAGCAAATGTTTAAAATACAGACTCAGTATGATTTGAAAAAATAGTCCAACCCAAGTACAGAATTAATAATAGATGGTACTATTTAAAATAATATAACTTATACTGCACAGTGCACATGCTTGAACCCAGGTGGTTAAGAATTTGAAATGTTTCTATAAATATTATTTCCTGGTCTAATATTATTGCCATTTGGGGTAAAATAAATACACGAAAAATGCGTATTTAAGTACCCCGTAGCTTGACTAAAAAGACCCAATTAAATCTAATGTTATCAGGTTAAAAATACAATGTTCCCTAAATTAGTGTACACACTGTATGCAAATAATAATCAAAACAAGACTATTCATAAGGAATCCATGTGTAGCGTGTACTAAGTGGACAATATTAAGTGAAAGAAAAGTTAAGTGCCTTAATTAATTGATATGTGTAGATTTTGTCATACTGACGACTCATTAGTACTAGATAAGTAATAACTACCTTTTATTTCATTTTCAATGAAATTAGCAGCATCTGTAAAATTTTTTACTGCTGATACAGAACTTTCGCGTATAGCATTATCAGAAAATTCTTCTTTAAACTCAAACATAGAATTCCATTTTTTCAATGATAAATGTTTAGCTTTTAAAATATTAGGATATGAACTCCATCTTGTTAATTTTTTGTAAATTTTTTCAACATCATTGTCTTCAAAGCTCATTAGATCTTTATTATGTGATGTTTTTCCTTCAGCTAATCGGTGTACTAAAAGCCGTGTTACACAATCTTGCCAACCGGATTGTTTAGCAAATGCTTTAGCTGCATTTGGACTCATATATATCATCGCTAATAACTTTCGAGCAACTTCTAATTTTATTTCGATATCTTCATAGGCCAGACGATGAAGAATTGATAGAATTGCTGGATAAGTACACATTGAATCTAAAAATTTAGAAAATTACAGAATAATTGAAATGTTTAAAGTATTATGTACCACTATATTAAATATATACCTGTTAATAAAACTTGATCAAACATCATTAAAGTAACTTCCATTGATAAATTCTGAAAATCTGGTAGCAATGATATAAGACCAGGATACAACCCATAACCAGAATTTTGTAATCGTAAATTACACTTCTGTCTTTCATATACATACTTTGTTCTGAGTATTATTGACAAAAGCTAAAAATAAAAATATGTACTATTTTTTGTTTAAACACCGATTTATTGTTTTAATCAAACAAAATGAAATTACCTTTAAAACGCGTTGTTTTGCCAACATACTAATAGATTTTTCGATTAAAATGCCGTATAAAATGTCAGCAGTTTGAGGTTCATACATCAATAAGAATAGTTGATCTTTACACGATTCAGTTTCTAATTGTTTTATTAATATATCTAATAGTTCTATTATCTAAGACACAGATAATATCAGATTAATAATGTTGTAATATCTACTATTTATTTTTATTTCAACAAAATGCTCACCAAAAAAAAAAAATGAAATATTTGTATGTTACAAACATGAATTTTTCAATAAAAATAAAAATTAATAGTTACCATTGTTTCTGCCCTGCATGTTATGAGATATCGCACAATTATATCTATATCTGATATATTAACTTCTCTTACAATATAAAATCGAACAATATCCAACAAAGATGCCCTAAGCACTGTAATGTGATTGACTGATAATACATCACACGTGGTATAATAAGTTCTTATAGTGTCTAAAAAAAATTGTACACCAAATCGTTTTCGAAATGATTTACGATCATTTTTTATCAACATATATATTATCTTCACGACACCTAGAATTAATTTTGTTTATAATTAAGTAAATATTAAGAAAACAACAATGGTTAAATTGCAAAAGAATATTTACCAATCTGTACATTAAAAGAGCATCGACACCAAATAGAAAAATTAAAAAGGATGTGCTGATAAAATGCCCTTAACAGTTGAATGTTAGAAATTTCCTGTAAAGATTCCATAAATAACTGCATCGCCTCTAACATTTGCAAATCAATCTTATCTGAAGGTACCTATTAATAACAAATTAAAAATATATATCAACACATTTGCATACTTAAAATAAATATTATTTACTTTTGTAAGTAATTCTCCTAAAATTGGTATGCCATTTTTTCTTAAAAGTTGTTCTTGTCCAACAACATTTCCTTTCATGAGATTTTTAATTAAAATAAGTAACAAGCCTATTGGGTGTAGCTCGAGTCTTTCATCTAAAAATTAAATATTATGTTATGTATTTAATATTTATAGATACTTGAATAAATAATTATTATATTTTATAATCTAAAAGTGTATTAAAAAAAAACAAATCATTATGTTTTCATAATGCATACCCAGAGAGTATGAACGAAGAGATGAAACATCATCTAAATCTAAAGATACTTCTGTGTTTGTGTGATCCAATGATAATAAACCTAGATGTTCATTTTCATTTAGGACTTGACTCTCCAAAATTGGAAACAAGACACATAGACCACCAATCATATTAATTACATCCTAGATAACACAATGTTGTTAGTAATTAGTAATAATCAATTATTACAACTAAACAAATTGATATATTTTAAAAAGTACTTGTATGGGTGAACATTTGTTGACAGCTGCTGTAAGACGAGCATTAGTTTTGTTTTTTTGACTTAAATCTAGAGCAGTATCACGACTAGAAGCAGCTGTAGGACTAAAGTAAAATATTGATCTATTAAACAGTCCTAATATATCACATGTGGAATCATCCATGGTACTAAGCGATGAATAATTTGGACCTAAAACAATTGTTAATAAATTTACAAAAATATATGTATTTTATATGGTTCTTATTTACCTAAGTCATATATAGATTTTATCTGTTGCGCTGAAAAATATTCAGGAAACAAACAAATTGGACCTAGTTGACCCTTAAGGCATATGGAACAACCATACAAAGAATCTTGCATGCCAGGGGGAAAGTCTTTGACATATGGATCCATAGCACTTGATCCTCTCATAAGTAAGTAATTCGGTACCTAAACAATAATATGTATTACATACCACAACAAATTTTGCAGTACATTATTTACATAAATCAATTCTAAAAATATTACCTGACTAATAAATGATGGTAATATTCTTCGATCCACTTGAGGTTGAGTATCAACAGATTTTGACACATGAGGAAGAAAAGTGCCGATAGAACATTTTTGAAATTGCTGCAAATAAAAATAAATGAAATTTTTGAAATAGATTAACAAATAAACAAAGTAAATTTATAGGTTTAACATAATTGTATTAAATTAAAAGGTATATTACATCAGATAAAGGTGTAAATTTGGCAGGAGCACTTATATTTTGCACACCATCAATATAAATTGAAACTTGATTGTGTCCAAAAGGCCTCCTTAAATAAAATAACACAGGCAAATTTAGTTAGTAAATAAAGCTAAATATTATAATCTTACTTTGATGGATTATAGCTAACATCTATGCAATACCAACGATTTTCTACAAATCTAAAATCTCGAGCAGTAACAGTAAAAAATTCTTTTTTTGTATTCATTCCAACAACTAGAGTCCAATCTGATCCAATAAATATTTCTAATCCTGTATTTGAATTGGTTAATAAGCTAAAAAAAGTTACAACATATGTTTTAAAATGATGTATTTATAAAACTATAATTTTTAATATCTTACTGTAACAATTGGCGTCTATAAGAAGCTAAACCATATGTACTAGTACAATGATGAAAACTAACATTATCCAAACGTAACCAACAATGAAAGGTTAAGCCACTCATAGGTCCAGGCCATTTTTTCAGTTCATCAATTATAAGACCTTCTGTTAATGAAAAACATCCAATTATTAAAATACAATATTTATTTATTTTTATATAATTTATAAATCATATCAATTTCTTAAGAACAAAATATGTGCCTGATAAGTAAATGAAGAAATTTTTATAATTATTATTATTAGTATTAAGTGATGAAGAAGGAGTTATTACAGTTGTTATAAAACATGTTCATTCTGTTTTTTATTTTTTCACAAAAATTATTTTAGTTTAAACTTATTATAGTTACAGTAAGTCTGAAAAAAGTACAGGTATACCTTGATTATTTTGAATATCAAAAAAAACTTTGCAACTATGATCATATGTACAATAAGCAACTTCTGACAATGTTCCAAGCATTTGAGTGATATATGGAAACTAAACATATAAAATACAATTTTTATTTAGTCTAAGCGCTAAGTATTAATCAAAACCAAAATATTAAGTAAAAACTTACAGGTTCATCTTTGTCTCTCATTAATAAGAAAATCTTTTTCAGTTCAGATGTTGAAATAGAATGTGAAGCCAAATTTTCAATAAGTTTCAAAAGTTGGTGGACAGTTTTTTGAACTAACTGATTACAGTTTTCCAAACATGTACATACTGAATCAATAACTTTACAAACCGAAGATTGACATTTACTAAATATAAAAAAACAAAAAAAAAATAATCTGTTTTGGTAAAATCAAACTTAAAATATACCATACATAACTTAACTTATTGCACATATTATTAATTTATTTAAGAGCAAAATATATTTGTAAAATAAAATATTTACCTTTGTAAATTTGTTGTACACAAATTAAATATAACACTTGCTAACCAAACTTGATCCATTTCATCAAGACTAGGTAACCATTCAATCAATGGTACAATCATCTGTGCATTCTATTACAAGTTAAATAAAACCACTTTGAAATTAGTAACATATATTTAATAATTATATAGAATAATTGTGTAATAGTTAATTGACAAATTTTACCTCTAAGTTTTGATCTAATGTTTTATCTGTATTTTCGGTAGCAATGGAAATTATAGCTTTTAATAATGGTTGACTTTTATTTGCTTGTTTTCCTACAAATTCAAATATTTTTTCGTATCCGTTTATACTCAACATCTGCATTTTTGCTTCATTTGACATACGAAGAATCAAAGAAACTGTTTCAACACATTTAACTACATCGTCTATTTCTATATCATCCTTCAAAGGTAATAATCAAAAGTAAATATTTAGTAAAAATAATATTAAAAATAAAAATTAATCACCTCAAATTTATTAAGTATGTCTAAAATTATTTCCAATAATTTACACTCAACAACATATCCTCTAATTTTTTCAGCATTAGATCCAGATAACTCAATTGACTGTCCAATAGCTTTAATTACACTTAAAACCAACGCCTCATTTATTTCAAATGCTATACATTGTTTTAACGTATCTCTTAAACACTCCATTTGTGTAGACACATCTAATTGACACTAACATATATATTCGATTATTAAGTATTTAGTGGGTACATATTTATATATATTTTATAAATAAACTATAAATGCATATTATGTACGATTTTGGACTTTACACATACCATGTAAGTAGAGCAATAAATATTAAACTTACTTGATGTGGAGGAAATTGAATCATTACTTGTGTGACCGTTACAAAACATCGCAAAGCTGTAGTTTTTACTACTAATGGAATTTTTTTATCTGATATTACTTTCATAATTAGAGTACAGGTAGGAGGACTTACTCCTCGAAGTGCATTATGCTAAAATATAAAATTAATAAATGTATTAAAATATAAACTAAAATTTGACAGTAATAAAAAATATATATGTATTAATATTCAAGCTAAAAAGTACAATATTACAACTAAAAGTGCAGTTATTGATTTTTATAGTCAATCTAAATTTACATTATTTTTACTTCAGAAATAATCCACAATAAAAAATGCAGAAAAAATAAACATGCAGAACAACACAAATAATTTGTAGGATTCTTTTTTTATTGAAAACAAAATGTTCTTGATATTATTTTCTATTATTATTTAACTCATTGTCTCCAAAATGCTAATAGATTAAAAGTTGTCTCAAAAATAGCAATCAACAATGAAATAAAAAAAAGGTCATAAGTAGGGCACGGATTTCAATGCACCTATTTTTTAGGTCATAATAACATTTTTAGGTATTTTTTAGGGCATTCAAATCTGCACCCTAGTCATAAGTATGTTGTGAGCCGCCAAAATTTAAAAATTTTCTAAAATGTGCCGTACTGTAAAAATGTTGAGAACCTCTGATCAAGAACACCTAACATTTAAAACGAGTTATGAGTGTTTTAAAATTATAAAATTTTTCGACAGTAATAATTTACTTTAAAATTAAAATACAAACAGTTTCCCATGATAATATTCATACCTATAAGTTTCATATGTCACTCTAACATTAAATTTAACAATACTAAATTGGTTGATTACAAATTTGTTTTGTTATATTATGTTTGTACAACGGAGATATAACATGTCTGTTTGGTGTCCTCTTAATAATATGATGTTCGGATATATAAAATACTATGTATATTCACTAATAAAGTTAAAATTGTTCAAATGGATGTATTTGTTCATAATATTTAGTATAAAGAATACATTATTACAAATAAAAATTTAACTAACATAACTGTTAATAAATTGTATTAAAATAAAAGTCAATTTATTTATAAGCAATTTTAGATGAAGTTCAAGCAAAGCAAATATAAAGCATGTCAAATTTAACTTTTGTTAATAAAGGAAATATATTATTTTAAATAATGTTTCAACTGTTTGAGTATGAAAATGCTGAATTAGATAAACATATTAAAGGTACTTAATTAAAATCAAACACAGAAATTACAAAATAAAAGCTTTCATTTTAAAGAATTTCATTAAAATGTGTTAAAGATTTAACAAAGAAAACTTTGAGCAGTTGTTTAATATATAATAGTAAATCCTGGAATGAAATAAGCTAAAATAATAAGCAGTGTTATTAAAAATGCATTAAATTCTCATTGCCAATTTTTTCTCAATGAGTTTAAATCACCAAAGCCCACTCACCAATGCATTACAAATAATGACAGAATATTGACCATTTTCTATGTTCTGTAGAGGAAGTAACTAATACCAATAAACATTAAACAATAAATATAAAAGAATAAGTCTACAAAGTAAAAATAAACATTCACATAAATTAAGTTTTATAATCCCACAAGCTTAATATACATAATACCCAGAATTTTTATAATAATCTTAATATTTACTTGAGACCCGCAAACTATTGCTCCAAATACATCTAAAAGTTCTGCCGCTAATAATGGATGTTCAACTGCTAAATTAGTCTCAAAACAGTCTAAAAATAAATTAATAACATTAATGTCTATATAAACACAAATATATTGATTTCATATAAATTAAACATACCAAAAATAAAAGGAATAACTTCTACATGTAGCATAGAAGGAGGGTATTGTAGTTTAGACATATCTAAATCTTTCATTTGAGAAGAATCGAAACAACGCCATATTTGGTACGGATCATATAGACATTCCAGAAAATGACAAAGGGAATGACAAAATGATAAAATTGAAGACTTTGTAGATTCATCATATTGTTGATCAGTAGAAGTAAGCTTTAAATATTAAAAGTATTCAAGTATTATAATTAATTGAATATTGTAAAAAATTTAAATAATTTATCAGCATACGGCAAGATTAATTTACTTTGTGAATTAAGTGTGTCGCAACAGACGTGCTTTCCTTAATATAATCGCAAGATGTTAATAATGGAATGTTATAAAAATTTCTGCTGATCACTATTAAACAACGAATTAGATACTCTGCCTCAACAATGTTTTGATTGGACAATTCATTCTAAAAAAAAAAAAGTTAACACATTTCATAAACAAACCAAACAATATATATTAAATTATATTCATAATTATAAGCTACTTTTTCTGTATTATCCTTAGCAATGTATAGAAATTTTGCGATTGCTGGTAGTAATTCATCAGGTAGTCTTGATAAAGAAGGACCAGCTTCAGGATCAATAGTAGTCGGTAAGCAAATGTCTGTGTTGACCCACTTTAAATTTAATTTTGGTTCCCATATTGCAACAAATCCGCTTATAAACTGTCTAAAAGAAGCTTCTTCATTCTTAAAAATATAAAAATGTATTTTAGTAAATTATAATTATTTTTTATAATACTCATTATACAGAGTATATTAACAAGTATTGTGAATATGTTTAAGTTTCAATATAGATAATTCAGACCTATATAAAATGTAACAAGTAATAGGAAAAGAGAAAATTAAATAATAATTATTAAACAACGGATTTATCAATTAAATTTCACCATAATAATATAATCTCTATACTGCATGATACATTTTTTTTCAATATAGAATACAAATAGAAACCATAAAAAATGGATAAAATTTCATATTTATAATTTATTTTGGCTAAGATACCTATTTGCATAGGGCATGCACTTATGAAAAATATCTGACTCACAAATATTACAACAGTAGTTTTATTTTATAGTAAAATAACAAATAAAAACTGTACTTAACAACATTATTCTTTTTAGGAAATTTGAGTGAATTAAATTTTGGGAACTAACAGTCAACAGCTGTTGAACAATCACTAGTTTAAAGTCTCTACTTCAAATTAGTAAACATTTTTTTCTAGAATACTATGGGCCTGTCAATTGTAGACAAGACAATGTTTGAATAAATGGTAAAAGTTATCTTAATTGTAGGCATAAGCCTACATAGTAATGTTACCACCAAATATAAATTGCACACTGAAATTCCAATTGTGTTGTAATAACATAAAGTATACAACTACCTTTGTTGTGTATTGTACCCAATACGTGTATATCGCATCTTTCTTATAGTCCATATTTATCGTTAATAATTATTTCTTTTCGATTTAGCACTCATTTTGAAATGATTTCTCTTATTTGTTTACATTTAATGTTTTGATTTTTCCTAGATATTACTGATATAAGATATCACTTATGCTGTTATCAACAAAATAGTTTTGTTATCATTTTATCTCATAAGATTTAGTATCACTGCTCAAGGTATACATTACGGATGTATTTAGGTAATGGTATAAACCAAATTTGGTTAGGAATACAGACCTTACAAAGTCTATAAATTGTAGTTACAACTTACAGACTTGCAAATGAATTAAGCCAATAGAGCTATTGCAGTAATAAATTAATTGTAAATACTATTTAATATTTCTAATCAATGATAGTAATTAAGGCAGTAGTTTAAAATAATTTCAAAAATAAATTTAGTAAATATACCTACCATAATTTATTAATTATTATATAACATATATTATGCAAAGCTCAACAGTAGGTAATAATTAGTTACACAATATGGTTAGAACATATTTTCATGTAGGTATCAAACTATCGAAGTTATTTATCGTTTTCGAAAAGTAGTAGGCATCAATATGTATCATTATCTGACCTATATATGCAACTATGCAAGGTAGTCGTTATAACCATGACCCCATGGGCCATGGGTTAAAGGAGGGGGGGGAGACTCAGTCCCCCAACCACTGATTGTGCTTATAAGGAGTCCCTTCATTCTTCAAACGGTTGCCGCCTTGCCGGTACCTATACTACACTGTTTTGCTATATTTAATTTTGTTATAAATACATGCAAATGTTGAAAAACTATTATGTGAAATTAATTCTAAGAAGAAAAAAATATAATGTATTAATGCACCTATCAATATAATATATATATTTATAGTATAAATGTACCAAATAAAAAAAGGCTGTCCCCCCTCCCAGAATTTATGGGTCAATCATGCTCCCACAGGTACCTTATTTTACTATAAACATTTTTAGGACTCCAGCCCCTCTAACTTAAAGGACTAGTGGTAACTATGAGTAAAAGCTTAACTAATTATCGTAATCGTAGCATAATGAACCGGTACGTCAATAGTATGATAGAAGCTGAATCACATGCAACTATAAATAAAACGATATGTTTTATAACCAAAAACAATGATTTTATTTTCCTAAAATTAAAAAACACAAACATACTTTAATAAACTTTAATATTTTTGAACAAACTAACATTAAAAATTTGAGAATTTATTTTATATCATTGTGTTTAATTATTTGATTTGCATAAAACAAGAGTAAAAAAATATATTAATTATATTAATTTTAATAAAATATTTAAGACTGACATCCTAAATTGTAACACAAACATTTTTCATTGTAAACAAACATTAAAAAAAATGTTTAAGTCCTACATGTTTGAGGATTATCTTTATGTTCAAAGTTCTTGAACGCCTGAACGAGAATTTCCTGTTGAGACATTATAGCTGAACAAAATGATATTACTAACAAGTCTGTCATGATTAAATTGTACATTGAACACATATTAGCTTCCATTAAGTAAAATATAACTATATACTGATTAAAGTGTAAGTAGATACGCCGAAACGAACATTTGAACTTTCTAAAGTTGTCAACATATTGATCGAGATTGAAATAATAAACCATTGTACTAAGATTTTATTGAGAAAATTGTATACCAGTTTGTAAATATTCTATATTTATCACGATAACTGTAAATATGTTTACCAAGTTTACTAGTTATTATAGTTATTAAACAATGCCATCATTTATTATACATAAACTTTTGAACTAGGGCTTGAAATCAAAATCAAAATATTCTATTTTAATTTTAATTTAGTTTATTGATAATAGTTTTTTTCTGATTTAAATTTAAATAAAATAGATCGATTTTGCGGTCTTATGATTTTTTTATTGATACAGAATATCGATTTAATTATATTAAGATTTCGATTTTAAATAAAATTTTCATTTTTTTGAATTTAGCTTAAATTTTTAAATTTAAATATCCTATTTACACTATTATTATTTCGATATTAGTGAAATATTTTCAATTTATGAACCATAATTATTCTTTATTCTTTATTACTTTAACACTTCAATCAATGTTAAATATTGTTTGGATTTTAGATTCTGGTATAGTGATGTTGATGGAACTTTATCAACTAAATTTCTGTCACAACCATTTAAATTATATTTTTAAGCCAAATATGTGTATAAAAATAAAACTTATAGAACTTGCAATAACAACCAAAATCGCTCGTCGAACGCCGATACCTAACTATTATCCTATAATATTATAATATGTATACGAATACTGTATTATTAAGATGCTATTCTAAGAAAACAAAATATTAGACATTAATTATTAACTATTAGTAGTTTAATAACTACTATAGTAATCTATAAGCACTATTGTTTGTCATTTTTTGTACAGATATAATATGTGGGTATTATTATGAGATATAAATACACAATAGATTTATAGCCATATTACTAATCAATGATAAACAAACTATACATCAGTATTGTCTTGTATAATATATCAAATATATATAAGTGCATTAAAATTTAATGTTTTTTTTTCTTTATTTACGTACGATTGTTTGGATAAGGCTCATTGTCAGCTGTTGCTCAACTTTCATTATCGAGTGGCCCAAGACTGTTATGTGTTTTCCAGGAAAAATGTACCCACAACCACAATGCAAGGGTCGTGAATCAAATATTTTATGTAAGTACATTTAATCACAGTAAGTGCTGCAATCGTACGATCCAAAATAAAAGAGACAGCAACAAAAAAACAATATACGTATATTATGGCAGTGCTATCGTGCAATGGAAGTTAACGCGGAACTTCTTGCACACGAAGAAGTTTGAATCAACGTCGTTAGATGCCACTGCCGTTATCATCCAAATATCTTAAATCGGGATCAACACTTAAAAAAGCCAGAAGATGCCTCAAAAAGTAAAATTCGATTTTGAGTCTTTGAAATGCCATATATATATATAATTGATTGAAACTTGTAAGGAATGACAAAGCATAGACAATAAGCATTTAAATTTCATATAGTTATTAAAAAAATTATGTCTATGTATTTTCAATATTTATTATATGTCTATCATATATAAGTATAAAAAACCCTAAATTAAAATTTCAAGATTTTTGACCCAGAAAATAACATTTTCAGAAAAAAAACCTAAGTGTTAAAAAAACGTCAAGGTCTTTAAATAGCCAAACTATTTTGAAAATGATTTAATGCCTAGGAAGTGCTTTTTATGTATATAATTCATTTTTTGTTACAATTTAAAGTATTTAAGAGCATGTATTTTTGAATCACAACCATACAATAAAATCGATTTTGTTAAAATAGGACGGTTATATATTGCGTAAATACTATCTTGTGTTTTTTTGTTTTCCCCGAATATTTTGAAAGCTACTGTGCATTTTTGCTTATATTTCAACCCCCTCCCCTTTTCCATCTACATGGGAGCAATGAAAGAAATTACGGTATTATAATTATCTAAGGGTCATTTTCACTAATAACGTTGAATAACTTTTAAGTTGTTTAAATGTGCGCAATGCGCATAGTATATATAATTATTAATTATTGGTCTAAAATTAATTGACTTAAACGAAGATGTACAATTGTTTAATAATTATAAATTTAAATATTACACTCACGACGGAATGCAATATAAATGCATATTTTAGTATTACGTGACTTGCATTGATATTTAATTATAGGAGCATTCATCTTCTATATTCACCTACTGCCGACTTTCACTCACCTGTCACAACTATTGATACCAGACAATTTTTCTTAAATGTATACATCACTACTTCAGTTGAACTATGAAAATGTATTAATGTACATTATATTTATTTCAATACATAAAGACGGTTGTCAATTATAGTGAAGTTAATATCGTAAATTTAATTTTTGACAAATAATGTATAAGAGGAAATCGCCAAAATTTTATAATTTAAAAATGAAATCCAAACCTTCGACATGTACATTTTTAATAAATAACTATGACTTCCGAAAATTTCTTAAATTTTATAATATTTATTTTATAATGTCATGCATTGTATGGACTGTATGTACGTCCGCGGCGTATACTTTTATTTTCATATTTTAGAAAAATTCATAATTTTTCTTATACATTTTCTATAGTCTGAAATCACTTTAAATAGTGTATTATTGGCATTTTTAAATTGTTATATTTTGAAAGAGCTTTAATTTATGAATAGTATATACCTACTGTAGATTTATTTAAGTCCAGTTATGTTAAAAACATATTTTAAAGGATAAGTACAAGTACATTTTTTTCTTCTAAATTCTGATTATGTTTTATACTTTTTTAAAAATAAAAATTATTTATCTATCATTACTATATTTTTATTAAAATACATTTTTTATCATCAACTTAGGTAACCTACTCTAAAATGATAATTTAATATATTTGTCATATTAAAAATTTGATTTTTAGTTTGCTCATTGAAATTTTAATTTTAGTGTAAAAACTAAATTCCTCAATTCAAGTGTAATTTCTTCTTATTGTATGTTTAACAGTTGGTTCGAAATTCTAATTAAACTTAAATAATTATAATAACTTATTTTAATATTTTTATTTCAAATTATGCTATTTCACTTTACCCATAATATCAGTAAATTCAGATCTGTGTCGTACTACCTATCACGTTCTCAGATAGTCTTTGACACTGTTATATCATCAATGGACATAAACTTATAAGAGTAGAAATCAAGTCAAAGACTTGGGTATAGTTTTCGACACCAAATCAACATTTTTTCTTCATATTCACAATCTTATAGTAGTTTTAAAGCACTAAAAACACTTGGGTATGTCAAAGGTGTCAGTACTCAATTTAAATTATTGCTCATCCCGATAAAATTATTATACTGTGCCTTGGTTCGCTCTGTGCTTGAATACGGATCTGTATCGTTGGATGTCCGTGTAATTGGTCATAGTTATCTCTTAGAGAGCGTACAGGGTAAGTTTTTGTTCTTTGCTAGGCATGTATTAAAAATTCATCACCAGCCACATGATTATTCTCCATTCCACTTTGCTTTACAATTACCTCCGTCGGCTGA